GGTGTTGTTAAACCGAATGAAGGATTCAGTACATGTTCAACTTCTAGACAAACATGCTGGATTTTGTAAGGATCGACTATGCACCGGCCAAATGGCGACACAATCAATCGAATGAAACTCATCACTACGCACCAACTTACTTAAATATGGAAAAGCATTCGACAGAGTGGATAGGAGGACCTCATGGGACGTTCCTCGACACTATGATCTATATGAGAAGATTGTCACAATCGTACGGAATTCTTACAACAGACTGCACTGCAACTTTATGCATTGAGTGCGGTTCAAAAATGTATTCCAAGTGAAGACCAATGACAGACAAAGCTGCTCACTATCCCCCTTTCTCTTTCTTCTGGTAGTTAAGTTGATCATGAAGACCTCCATATCTGAGGGGAAGCACAGAATACAGTGGATAGCTTGGATGCAGATAGACTATTTGGACTTCACAGATGACCTAGCTTCTCTATCCCATTCACAGCAACAAATACAGGTGAAGACAGTCAAAGTAGTGTCAGTCTCCACAGCAGCAGGCCTCAACATTCACATGAGAAAAAGTAATATCCTAAAATATAAAGTGAAGACCAACCAAGTTAAACTTCATGGGGAAGCTCTGGAGGTGGAAACTTTCACGAACCCCAGCAGTATCACTGATAAACAAGCGGGATGTGATGCAGGCGTTGAGGCACGGACTGACAAAGCAAGACCAACATTCATAAGATTGAAGGACATCTGCAACTCAAAAAACTGTCAGAATTTTCAATAAGAAAATCAAGACAGAACTATTGTACGGAGCTGAAATTTTGAGAACTATAACCATCATAAAAAAAGTACATATATTTATAAACAGTTGTATACGCAAGATACTCTAGATGCGTTGACGAAAATCAACTTCACCTACGAAATATATTTGTATGTAAGACGTCGTATTAGCTTTGCTTTATCATAAACTCACCTTTCAATAATAAATCTGTTATTATGCCTTATGCTGATGAAATAATGACATTGACAGAATCCCAACGATCTGTAAATGTGCCCACTACCGATAATCATGGTATTCCATAAAGAAAAATCTACAGCCTCTTTATTCAGATATGTTTTACTCTAACGTCAAAATGTACACAGACAATGAGGTTTAAGCCTTGGACGTTGTCGATACGTAGTGATTCTCTCGAAAATGTGACATCTATGTGGTAAAAACTGCACAAAACCTTGATTATTACCAGAAGATGGCGAAAATGTACTCAGGGTTGTCGCAGATCCCTGAAACAACATAGAGTACAATGAAACAAATCAAGAATGCTGGGCAGCAACAATTTAAGCTATGGTTGACAAAACATGCTCTGGATCTACAAGAACTAAATCAACTCACGATAAAATTGAAAATTATTTTCATTTTGAGAGCATATTAAATGTCCAGAAAATTCTCATTCAGTCTTGTGGTAAACAAACAAAAAAATGTACAGTAGCTAAAAGTTTGAGGATAGTTTCAATATTATCCCTAAGTTAATGGAACCAGGAATCTATAATGATAGAACATGAAAGTTTGCTTGAATTACAGGTCGATGTATCGTAGTGTATGGATTCTGAGCTGACTAGATATCATAGGAGATATGCTGCACAGTGTATTCAAAAGTGATTTAGAGAGGATACTTGACCTACCGCCTTTAGTTAAATGTGTCCGGTAAAACTAATATGAACAGAGTAAACATCGAAGGCTTATTAAGCTTCTTGTTTTTGGGATCAATTTACCATCACAGTCTGTCAGCTAGAGCGTACAGTCCATACTTTTCTATCATTAATAAAATAACACTGACCCCGTAATCACTTGTACATTCGTATAATAATATTATGAAAACTCCCTTCTTAATAGGTTGATTATGAATACAGTGGTCTTGAGTGCTGTTAGAGGTATGAGGGCGGTTTTCACTTCCCGGTTGCCTACACCGTGGAAGGGTTCTTCTGGAGGTACCTGAAAAGGAATTTGGATTAAAGGTGGTCTTAGTGACCTGAGAGCGTGACCGCAGTGCCCAAGGGACAACTGCTTGAGGTCGGTCACAGACGACCTTGTTATGGGTAATTTTTGTGTTAGCTCCGTACTTATTGAGACCTTACCGCCGGAGACGGATATCCGTGGGATAAGGCGAGGTGTGCATTTTTAGGGTCGACCTTTTCTAACCCCACCCCTCCTTGTGGGAAGGCAGCATCGCTGTCATGCTGGTTGTCTGAAGGAAACACCTTACTGCTGTCACACCTCTGTACAGTCAGCAGTACGACTTCGCCTTCGGACCTTGGGTTTGTTGCTTTTAGTCTTACTGCTCTTCAACCGACCTGTCTGACATGGTAGGACCTTGAGGAACGGTTGTTCCAGCCAGTATAGCTCGGTTGCTTCATCACGATAGGCAAGCCCGACCACCACGTCAAGGTAGCAACAACGGTCGGGGACATGGCTCGGAATCGATCACAATGGCGTCGGTGTATACACTCCCTGTCTTACCTTAAACTAAGAGACTAAAATCACTTCATTCTTTCTGTCTACGAACTAATTCTTTCTTCCATACTATATCCTTATTACAACCTTTGACCTAACCACTCCTATGAATCCGGTGTTCATCTTGCTGTGCTAATAAGGTATGGCAACCTGGACCGATGCACATATGTGCCTGGTCCTACGTCGTAGCTGACTGACTGACCTTCTTAATAAGTTAACTGGGTACTATGTTCATTCAGGCTAAACTTTAGTTCATTAAATGTCTTTACACGAACGTATATCAAATGTTTAAGGTTTTTAGTTCAACAGAATTGGAAGGTGACATTATTGGAACTCTTTAAGCAGGATGTTGAGATGATAATGATAGGGAGGAGTTTGTAATTTGACTTTAAAACCCATACTAACCCTGTTCAATTTTTATGAAATATTGGTTATGAGAGTTAAGTCAGCTTTCATGTTATGACAATTACAAAATAAGTGTATGACAGGAGACTCCTTCGTAATTCAGATTATTTATCTCGAAGGTTTATGTGCACAACTTCAGACACTTGAAGCATACATGACCGGAGTCAGGTTAATGGGGTCAGATTTAAACAACACTAACGGTAAATAATTAGGTTAGCACTGAAAAAAAGAGGATCCGTATTGTGATTGAAAACAGACAATAAGAAGCATTACTTCCAGATTTAGTGCTAGTCGACACTTTTCGGTGTGGCGTATCAGTAGATTCGACTTTTCTGTGTCAGAACGTTTAGGGGTTTTGCCCGATCGTTTACAATTGCCTAGTATCAAAATAAAGTTATCGAATCGAAGGAGTCAGCTCTAAACAAAAACATAACATTGCTTACTAAATAGATATTTAGGCTGAGAAGGCTTATCAAAAGCGTTCCGATGGTATGCCGATAATTGTTGATTTCAAGAAGGTAAAACTGCCTCACGAAAAACCGAAAGTATCGGGACACATTGTCACTAGAAAATCTGTATGCAGGCAAGATGGTAATTCAGAGAACTGTGGGTACATGTAATACACGAAAACGCATGAAATTAGTGTGATATATCTAGGCCCAAATTTAGTGAAAATGATTGTTTAATTTTAGTTTAAGTTTTGTTGCATCCGTTATTCAACACTGATAGTGATCATATACTATTTCTAAAGTTGAAGCTGTTACAGATCGACTTAACTCGGAATCTCATGGCAAAGCAACATAAAAATCATATTCGACTCAAACATACACTACTTAACTTAGAAGACTCAATATTCTGAATCAAACTGTTATATTTACGCAAAATTCTTAGTATTTGGATAGAGTTCAGGAAAACATCCAATTAAGATGGTAGATAAAAGCTATAAAAATAGACAGCCGTTGCAAAACTACGAACACCAACAACTAGGGGAAATGTAAAATACTGTAAACTTCCACTAACGTTTGATCGAAAGCCGTATTCTAATGAGCACAGTCAAGTTAGGAAAATAAAAGTTACCATAAATCAATGTAATTATCATAAAGTAAGTTTTGGAAGGTAATCAAATTCAAGCACTTACTTCTTGTGAACTCACAACAAATCTGACACTGATAGGTCTAATGAGAACTGGGGAATGAATAATGGAAAAATTATCGCTGAAGGACCCGTTAGTCTTTGGTATTATCGGTAAGGGAAATTCTAAAAAGGCACAAAGGTGTGATCAAGATTAGCGACGTTCGGACCGTCAGGACACCTGAGGTACATTTGTTGCTTAAGTCACTAACGTAAATGATTATCGGCAACAATTGATGCTACAATACAAATGTCAACGAACGAGCTTAGTGGTCCAGTAGTGAAATCATTTTTCCGGTTTATTACTTCAGACCTATTCTGTTGTTCACGTAACTGATCTAATCCGTTGCGTAGTCATTTCCCTGTTTTTGTTTTCTCTCTTGGGTAGAGCTGCATACGCCCGTGAGAGGATGATGCTGAAGGGAGTTAATTGGAAACTTAGTTAGGAATACAGTCATTACTATTTATTATTAAAAAGGAGGTCATTTTTCTTGGCTTATCAACATTTAGGTCACTGTTGTGACATACAGGTTAGGCATAATGGTAAAATCTGATTGGTGGTTATAGATATTTATATGATGCACTAACATTGTGAATATGGGTTCAATCAATACTTGTATTGAACAAAGTTTAACATATGCATATGAATTTGGTGGGTAACTGCCCTATATATATATATATATATATATATATATATATACATGAAGCATATAACGCGAACAACTTGAGACATTTGCCAACTTTAGGGGAATTTACTAACTGTATAACAGGTATCAGAAGAATAACCAATAAAAAAGCAAGCAATAATGAAACCTCTCTCTTTTAATACAACGCTATTTTCATGAAAAAAGTAATATATATCTCACAGGTACATGTATCTTTATTTAAAGTTAGGAAAAACACTCATAAATTCGTGTATAAATGTAACGACAATGAATGTATTAAATTACTTTACGTCAGCAGATAGTTATTGCTGCTATTTTCGGTGATGCTGTTGATGTACAATTGGGCAGCTACTATTGACTGATGTAATAACAGATGATTCTTTATAATTTTTAAGTGTCTGTACGTCTGCATGCATCGCACAGCTCATATTTGAAGATGACGACGAAGACGACGAGGAGGAACATATTCGAGAAGTTAACAAACAAGATGAAGATAAGTTGGTGTGGAAAGTTGTAGTAATAGGTTTTGTGAAGATTAGATTCTGTTTGTCTTTATAATGATAAGTTGCATGAGCATAAATTTCAGGGTAACTTGCAAAGTCTGTGAATGAAGTTATGGATGGGATGGCTGGTGCACAAAATCTAGAAGTCTGTAGAAAAGTATTATTAATACCACTATAATCATGATTTACTGAAGCAGAGTGGATAAGTATGTTACCGCGTGTATTTGTCGAGGTATTAGTAAACAATTGACCTATATTGCATGTTGGCAACAGAGATGACATCTAGAAATAATAAGAATCAATTTTATGGAAGTATTTCTCTCATCAATAATATGATCACAATATAGAAAATTAATTACTGGTTCATTGACTTCAAATAAATAACTCTTTTAGCATAAGAATACTATAAAACCTGAAGTCAGTGTTCAAAAATACAGAAAAAAGCTGTTTGTTGATTAATTTTACTATGGACATAAATTATTATGCATGTTGTAACCAAAAATACTTAGGGACTCAAATTAAGATTACACCTATAGTTACCTATCTTAGTGAGTCTCTGATACTGGCTGAGGTGATCTCGACAATTAATAAATGACATATATAGTAAGAAGATAATGTAATATTCCTGAAGGATGTTACCACAAAATTACACAGGAGGAAGCTGAGTAGTTTTAAATTGTAAACCCCAATGTGTAAATATGAAATGTAATTAAATATGCACACATTTATGAACTAGGATGTCAGTAACAACTGTTTTTTTGATGGATAACAAATAAAATGTTGCGACTAATCCCAAAGGTTGTACGAACAGTAATCTTGAGGGTATAAATCAAGCTTTACGTGATCGTAACAGAATAGGACTGAAATATATTGACTAGTCCAGTATTTGTAAAATATTAGCATTTGTAAAAAACGTATGGGTCCATTATGCGATTAAAATAAATTTGAATTAAGAAACTATCTTGGAATATTTCTGATATGGCGAGTAATAGCTCAATAAACTGGAGTGGGAATGATATATGAAACTGTTTTTTTTCCAATCGTGTGTTATATGGATTTAACATTTTAAGAAGGATTACAGATACTTAATTGCATAATATGATATGATATATATGAATTATTATCGTTATATACAACGCAGTTTATTGTATACAACTCTGTCTGTTAATCTAACTGCAAATAAACCATATAAAATATAGTGGCGAGACTATAATTTATGGACGAACCAATCAGATATAAGATAACGAGTCACAAATTTTGGCGCGAAATTCCTCCATACATTTTGCTAAATAGAGTTTTGGCATTATAGCTAATTTCAGTTCGTGATGAAAACCCTAACCATCAACTGTAGATGAGAATTCTGACTGCTTTATAACCCTCACTTTTTCTTTATCAGTAGGTGTCCGCTCTCAAGGCCACTTTAGCGTCGCTCTAAGGTCGGCCATAAATTATAGTCCCAACAATGTAGTGTATTTCCAAATCACTTTGATTTATTTTGTGAGTGAAAGAAGTCCTTATCATCGGCCTTCGTACCTTTTCTCGCATATTCAAGCTGTCGTGTAGATTTAGCCTGGGGTTATTAGAAGCAGCTAGGAAACCGGATCGAGCATTTGTTTAGCAAGACTTATCAATTTTCACTGTTGCACAATATGTTCCAAATCTCAGACATACACCATAAACTGATGACTAATCACAGATGTGCCAAAAACTGAGTTTGGGCACGTGGTAGCTCAAAAACAGATAAAGCTCTGAAATAAAAATACCTAATTGGTAGAAAACATAAGCACTAAAATAATATGCATCAGGTGGTTTTTGTTCGTATGATAAAATGTATGGAAGAAATTCGTTTGACTTACATCCTGTTGTTTATTAGATGTGAACTGTTTTTCACCTAAACAAAATTTTGTCGGATCATCAACCGAATCACTTGATGACTCTGTCAATGTTGCTGTTGTTGCAAAATACCCGGCGTGACTGACAGGATCACATCGACTAGTACTTTTCGGTAAACACTCAAGTTGTTCTATTTTCATCGTAAGTTCTAAGATTTGTAAATCACGTTGTTTAAGGGTTTCTGAATAAAAATTTTTTACCAAAAAAAGATGATGATGATACAAGGCAATATAAAATATCATATCAATATTATGTCAAAAATTCTTGGGACAAAGTCAAACTAGAAGCATCAAGCAAATGATTGGACAGTCAAGATTGCATATATTGTGAAAACGATTGACTAGAAGCATATGAGAAACATGCTAGTTATTATACTGAATTAAAACAGTGACTGGAGCATGATAGAGCTTTGAGAAAAACCGATAGGACCCTAAATTAGTGGCTATTGATCTGGTTAGTGCACGGATTTCCAGGATGAAATAGTAATGTCCAAAACGAACTGCAGTCATGTAAATGAAGAAAGTAAACGTAGTGTCATTGAAATGTCTTAGGTTTTCTTGGTTTGTATTACTTCCGCTGACTTGCCTTCGCAATGGTGTTGATAAATGATGCATCTTGAAATGATGCATTACAGTATCTGGTTTTAAGTAAAACCTTGTTTATAATAATTTAAAACCAATATTTTAGACAATTTACTTTTAAATTTTAGGGAAATATTTAGTTCCGTATACTTCACTGAACATTCAGGTAATGACGATTATGAATTCCTAAGTCAAAATATAATGTTGAGTGAAGTATATTCCATAATTAAAGACTTATAAAGAATTAAATGAACTATTAAAAACTAAATTCAGCTTAGTTTTACAACTTTGCTGGTAAAAAATTGTCAATTGTACATGTGATGCATTATGTGTTTGTATCAATTGAATCTAGTTGGCGGACTAGTTTGCCGAAAGCATGGTGAGTTGTTGTAGTATTTGCTATCTCTGTCATTTAGGCTCCTGTCTCCGTTAAAGATGTAGATGGACACATTTACGTCAAAGCCTTGGCGCAGTTTCTGAAGAAGTAAGATGAATAACATTCCTTGATTGCACTGTAGAACCGGTAAGGTAAGGCTACCTGATTGGACGGACGTGGTGAAACTATCATCAGCCAACCAGTTAGCACCATATAACCCTGACTGGTTTTATATTCGATGTGCCGCTATCCTTCGGCATTTATACATCAGGCCCACTGGCTTGACAGGCTTAAGCAAAGCATTCTCTAGAAAGAAGCGAAATGGCGTCAAACCATCCCATCGTTCCCTGGCACATTGCTCAGTTATAAGGAAAGCCATTCAACAAATGGAGGCACTCGGAATGTGTCAGAAACGTGAAAATGGGTAAGCTGAAATTTTATCATACATGTGATCTTCAAATGAAATAAACCATCGTCAGGTTAGAGGAATAAATAAACACCTGTCCAATTTATTCAACTGGCATTAAGGGTATTGAACAGTATGTCGTCCTAATTGCTTCTGTTGCTGTATGTGCGGTAGCACTGGTCATGTAAAATTTTAAGCATAGCAGACCCAGTGACACATTTAAAAAAATGGCGCTGACTAGATTGTACCCGTAGTAGTCTTGATAACATACTCATGTAAATTTGAAATGCTTGTCAATATATGTGCTTTTGCTAGCTTCTGCATTTGTGTAGGCGTTTATCTTTTAACACTGCAAGAACGCGATGTGAAAACAGGCAATTTTTATGTACTAGAAAAGCGTGGTCTTGATGAACTCGGTTATATTGAATAGGCAATTTTCAATTAGGTTGTCGACTTGCAAGATTTTAAATCCACGAGCCTGTCGAATTAACTACTGCGTAATCTGCTCTGGTAAAATGAGTACTTTCTGTAAGTTGATATGCTTTTGTGCGTCTTGTTTTTTCAATTGATTAAACACTGATTGATTAACATTTAACATTAGGAATAACTCTTCAAACACTTTAATTTCAGCGGGAGATCTCTTACATCGACTGGAAGGCGCGATTTGGACCGCCTGGCATATCAAATTCTTAAGGAGCGTCATTAATCCATGAAATATAATGTTATGGTTTACTATTGTTTTCTTTATGACGCGTCGCTTAAGACAATATCAATGTATAAGTCACAGGATGATCTTTTTTCAACATTTCAGTTGTGCTTACATTATAGGTTAGCTTACACGCAGCAAAATGTTACCCGTTATTCAGATATCGTGCAGGAACTTAATCAGTTTGTGCCAAGTGAGCTGGATGTAACGTTCATTCAACCTGCATTCGGGAATAGGACTTGTGCTTTACGTAATTCCCCGGTTTTAATCATTCGTCATTACGTCTAGGAGATTGTGCTTAATAAGCTGTTGTAAAAGGTTTGTTAGATGGTATACAAGATAATGCGACAAGTTTTTTCGTTTTAAACTGATTTCGTTCCCGCGTTGATTTATCTTCGGATTATTAGTTACAAATAGGACGACCATCTACTGCATGCGATCACTATATCCTGATTTGAAATCTAGAGCTATTTCACCAAGACTAATATCGCAAGCTCTATGACAACGTACAACCAAAGTAAATCTAATACGTGTCCTATGAAGCTGTTGATAACACGTTTATTGCCTAACAGTTAGGTTGCTTATCATATGACCTATAAGAAATGAGTAAAACAAGAGGCCTATACGTCGAAGGACATGGTTCATTTTTACAGCCTGGTTTCCCATTCTGCCTTTACACCCCAAACTGGAGACTTTTGTAAAAGTAGTATGAATTGTTGTTTGTCAGAAAACGGCAGTGGGGCGTAGCTGATGTTTTGCCTAAACGGGGCCAGGGTAAATGTATAGAGAGTTTTGATACAGAAAGTAGCTACCTTAAGGCAAAAAGCCATAGTCTGAGCTGCGGGATGGATTTTCAATACGAAGGTACTGAGTAGTTCGCACTTTTTGACCGACACTTTGGTCGATATTGACTTTGTATTAACTAAAGACACTAAATATTAACGGTAGATCGTGATGGATGTAGACCTTCTCTGGAGTAATGAAGCTTGAAATGATGTGCCAGAACAGTGATGATCAAGTTACACCTAAATTACGTAAATGACTCTGGCGAGACCTCACCATGCACATTTGGTTGCAGTCAATTTTGTCGACTGGTCCATGTCTACAGTTTCAAAATCTCACTTGTCACGTCCACACACATTAACTAATATAAAGCTGGAATTTGACACGGTCCGTTGAGAAATATTTGGACACAAGATCTAACGTGCTTCAAATACCATATGCGTCAGACTAGTTCTAAATTCCCTACTTAGTGTGGTGTGATGTCGGTCAAATTCAAAAGATATGAACAATATGATGATTTTAAAAAATATCTTAAAAGTCGTTCGTGATTTATATTCTCTCATGGACAATGTACATCTACTTTTGCTTAGAAAATTTATATTTTGGTATTGCCCAAAATATCAACTGATTTATGTAAAATGAATTTCAAGTGCATAAGTACTGTGTAGACTAACCTTTTTGTTCGACTGAGTCTTATAAACAGAATGTTCGCTATGTAGATCTACTGGACAGCTAGTTGATTCAAACGGCCACATGGATGACTGCAGGTAATAATCTGCACCCCGATCGAGTATCACTTCTGTGCGTTTAACGTGAGGTGTTACAGGAACAGATACTGAACCCGGAGCAAGATATTAGTTGTTATACTTTTTTCCGACTTGTTGACTGTACTGGACAGTCCAGGATGTCGGGCCATTATTTGCGAACCGTCGACTCTACAGTGTTGTAATTCGAACGACGGTGTATACCGCTTAGTAAAGATAATACGATGTTCAGGATAAAATCTAGCAGTTCTCACTAGAAGTTTATAGAACCCAACGATTATCTTCAAATTTCTTGTTCGTAGTTACGTGCCTCCAGTGTTTAGGAACAGAAGGCAGTAATTAACTGGTTTATAACATTTCCTGTGTCTAGTGTTTATCATGTAACCTATATAGTCTTTAGAAGACAATTTCAAGTGTGAGAATACAGTCTGAATGCTACATTTCCAAGTGTCGACGACCAGGTTTAGTAAGATGGCATATTATGTACGCGTCCTATGAAACATATGCAGTCTCCCAAAATGTTTTCGTAATTGTTGTCCATTTGAAGCGTACGAATCGAATGAGTCACGTCTGGCAGGCGTGCTTTTATTGATAAACGTATTGGACACAACTACGCTTACCGCAAATAAGTTAACGACCTGAGGATTTTCAAATTGGTTTTCTAGCTCTAGTGCTTGTACTGATGCTGCCTATGATGATAGTGCTAGTTTTGTTTGATTAACATATAAAAAGTCTATGTGCATAGTGAAGTCGTCTTTTATATACAACAAGGCTTTACGCAAACAAGAATGATGGATGCAGCAAGCAAATTGAAAGGGTTAGAAGTGTATATGAATTTGAATTCAGAAGGCTTTCGTTGACTGTGTGTATAAGTTCATATAGGCGTATCGTGACTGCGCACTAGACTGCAATTCTTGATATAACGCACAAGCATCTAGTAAAAAAAGAGAAAGTAGTTTAACGCTTATATAAAATTAGATTAATTTACTTATTATGACCTTTATTCAACATTAATTCCGTTTTAATTCAATGTAACGATTATTCAGTATAGTATTTGTTTCTATTTTCCCATATGACATATTATTCTGTATAATATACGATGTTCTTGTATTCTAATGCACATAAACTATTCTCACCATATGATTTGTTATAACTCTGGGTATTTTTTATATATGTAATTCTATTCTAATTATTAATCAAAAATGGGTATATGAATCAATATATAAATGAGTGTATTTTCGCCTAAGGTAGTCGTGTTTTGGGGGTTAATAAATCTCCACTTATACCAGTCTTTGTGTTATTATTTTGGCGTCGGGGGAATCGCAGCGGTTCCTCGCTTTACAAGTATAAGTGACAAGCGATTCCGACATAACAATCAGCGACGACCAGATACAACAAGTGGCGTTCAATCGACAAGACATCAGAAAGTAAAGTTTGTCAATAATTAGGGAGTTTTCTCATCGTGTTCGCAATGCTGATATCATGGGTTTGCGCATACAGTAGACAAAAGATTTTATATACAAGATGTAGGTGTTTAGAAAGGTATCATCAGGTGTGTCAGTTTGTACATTTATGTATTTACTGAACGACTGATTCATATTTTAGTTTAACCTGTAAAAGATATCAAACTGGTTATGTACATAACGCGATTTTGTATTGTATTGTGATCTGGTATTCTAGGATACATGAGTCTAAAAATACAAAATGTAATTGACCGAACTTCTCGACCTCCTAGTATCTAGACTGGGTGTAGCTGGAAACGTAGAATCTGCGTTGGACTACCACTTGTGATAGGTACTGTACCTGACACAAAGTCGCAAATATTGGCGCTGTGGTTGGGAAGTTTAACATACACCTAGCTAATTTGATGATTTCCGCAATATATGTCCTACCCACATCCAGTGTCTTTCCTTAATTTCCTCTTCAGTTGGAAGAGGGTCCCATAAGGTCCTCCTATCTACACTGTCAAATGCTTCCTCATAATCAAAGAACTTGACGTATAGTGACGAGTTTCACTCAGTTGATTGTTTAACGATGATCCATAATGTCGTGATTTTGTCTGTGCACGACTGATCCTTACTTTGGTATCTTGACGAGAAATTCTCCTTTCTAGTCCATCGGCACTAGGGAAAAATTAAAAAAACGAATTCATGAATCTTCATATACTGAGGTGGTTGGTACATGTTTGATGAAGACTTTATCCAATTTACCTCAATGCGTGATTTCCGCTGGTATGAAACTTAACTGCCGATAAGCTAAGAAGTTTCGTCAGTTCATGGATTTATTGACCGTTGGACTGAGCCGAGTAGGTGTACGCTTGGCGCTCGGTAACTTTTCTAAGAATGTGTTACAATTGCGCAGATTCATTCATTATATCTTGCCAAAGAACTTCAAAAATGGTCTACTATCAAAATTATCTAGTACTTCTCTATACCACGTATGCACATTTTTTCGAATCATATTGTCTACTTAGTTCCTTCGATAACAATTGATACTGTTATTAAATCTACTACTCAGGTATCTTGCCTGTTGTTATAATCTCTTTCTTACGGTTTTGACCCAGCTGTTCCTATTGCTTAGTATTCTCGGACACCAATTCAGAACACGGTTGAACAGGAAAGAGATTATATTCCAAATAACAAGGTTAGATGGGAGTAAGAAGCACAATAGGGAAAACGTTAGTATATTTATAGTTTATACATGAGAAGATTCTAGAGTATTCTCCAAGTATCGACTAGTGCTGATTGGATAAGAATTAGCCAATCAGCGTGCAGCAAAGCTTATTATCTTCATAGCAAGAAGACCAAGACTAACGTGCTCAGAGTTTGGTTGTGTGCATCAGAAGTTTCATGATTTGTCAGTGCTACGAGTAGCTGTAATCAAGCAGATCACCTAGCTTATCCTATCCTAACTTAACTGTACAATAAACTGATTATCTTTAGAAAGTGTTACTATAGTGAAAGTATTTGGCCACGAATGATCCACAAAATGTAAAGAAATCGTAATAAATTTTGTAAAAGCTTAGACGTTACGGGACTACATTATACAATACGCTTCAGACGAGATATACTGATTACCACTTTTTGTATCCAGCCAAAAAAAAACGTAATTGCCAATATAATGCAGTACAAATAATGTAATGCTTATGTTACGCAATAAGGTGTTTATATATAGTAGAATATATATATATATATATATAGTAGAATATATAATTTTCACTAACAAAATGAAAAGAAATAGAATAAACAAGCTTACTGCCTTCTAATTTGTTGTCGGACCTTCCACTACTGATCATCAACCTTAAATTATTAACACCTGAGTCATCAGGTGATGAAATATCTTGGTTTAATTGTGAGTACGGTTCGTAGAAATGATGGTCAGGACTCGTGTCGTGAAGATGATCGTGCCCATCATATGCACTAGAACCGCACATGCTGCATATGTTGCCACCACCAGTGGATGCACCATCCGAAGCGCCAGCCGGATCACATCGCAGTTCACAACCATAAGAAGGATTACTAAAAAACAAATAGTTCAATCAAGAGAAAGTTTGTGGTAATGTCATATAATTTGGTGTTTCATACTTGGCAATGAAGACAATTAGTTGACCAAGAAACCATTTCTTACTACAAAGAATTCATTGTCTATTAAAATTAAACCCAACGAATTATTATTATTTATTTGAACATAAATATTGGTACAAGAGGGCACCAAATATATATGCGCCACACAAAACAACGAGGATTTAAAGAGAAGGAAAAAAAGGTAAGGAGCGTTAAAAAAAGAACGATAACGAACAGATTAGTGTAAGGTAGTGTAATAAATAATAATAATAATGGGGGAAACAGAAACGTACAATTAAAAGAGATCTTTCAGTTAAGGAAGAAGCAACCCCTTTTTATGGAGGAAGTAAAAAAAAGGTTACAACAGGATCGCCACTGGCTTCTATTCTGAGTCATATCTGATAACGTTTCTACTCGAGAACGTTTAGATAGAGCCGAATTTCCACCATAGGCGAGATGCTGTATACGTCGAAAAATAAGGATAGACAAAGTGGGAATAAATGACGTGGTAAATAATAATAATGTGAATCGTTTGATTGTTAACTGAAGCAAGAAAAGTAGTTTCCATAATTATAGGCAGTTCATCATATTTGTGTGTGGGCTGTGATACTGCCCGGGTGCCCAGACCGAAGCAGATGGTTTTCTTAGGGGGCCACAACTCGAGCCTTTGACCTAAAGGTCTAACCCACAAGGCAGTGGAGCATCGTAAGGAGATGCAATCCCATGGTAGCCGGCGACCAACGACTGGTTCATACGCCATTTGTTCCCGCAGGATACTTGAGCCCATGTGCACCGTTGGTTTGGGATCCGGTTAAAGCGCTGGACACTCGGTTTTCGTAAACAACTGCCCCGCCGTGAGAAGGCAATGAGTAGGACTTCCCTGGCAGAGGCTGTATACGCGTGGCCGTGTGAGAGCATTTCGGGCCCTCCCCGCTCTCGGCCATACTAGAGCATTTGGGGGCAAAAAACCCAACGAACGGAAAAACACAGTGAACCAATAAGGTGAGCTTCACATTGGATGCCTTCAATCAATTCTGAAAATAATTTATGCCAAGTCGTTAATGGTATATCAGAGTTGTCATATCTTTTGATGTCGTTAGCTACGGAGAATCAATTTTCGAATGGATTTCATACGTACAACAGAAAGTTGTTTCTGTTGGAGTCAAACTCAAGGTACAGATTTCAAAATGAATACTTATGGATTCTGGTTCTGGCAAATTCAGCTGACAGGTTTCAAAATTAAATAACAAATGAGTCCATTACTTCAATGCTAGTTACCGGCCTTTACTATGAGGGAAATCACATTAGGCAAAACATGTCACGATTTGGTCATTAGAAACAGTTACTTGGCATACCAACGCACCATGCGTTTGATGAGTTATATATTCTTTTATTTTTATTATTGATCGTTGTCCATTTTTGGTGTAGGAAAATAGTTACGTCCTAGTCAGGCTAATCACGTGTTCTTGATCTGAGTTGTGTTGAAGTCCTGTAGAATAGACACCGGGAGAGAATCTAGTGTAAATATTTGTCAAAGGCAAAATAACGTCCCATTCGTGTAGAAAAAGAAAACCGAGCGTAATAACGAAGCGAATAAGATAACAACAGAATAAGAAGATTCTAATAACGGCAATCAGTACCAACATATAAATCACGAAACCCTAATTGTAAAGAATTCCTACTGAGAATAACGTGCGCAACCGATTAAGATAAAACTCGTGAGAGTAAATAAAAATTCAGGAATCAACATTTTACAAAATAAAATAATTATTATAGAAACACTGATGATTACTTGTAAATATTACTTCCAATCGCGTGGGTTGCCGAATCGCATAATTTATCAGCTTGCTGACCACGAGCGGCTTTTAAATATCCCCACGTATCACACAACTGGCGTGAAAATTGTGTTTGAAGGAATGCAAAGTGAGCTCTTTCCTCCTGTAACTGATTTGTTAAGAAACTGCGTTGAGAATAAGGAGGATTTGATTCGAATAGATAGACATTCTCATCTTCATTACGTTCACTTGTTCGAGATAACAATTCACGAGGTGCTATATTCCACAAAAGATCATTATTCCCAGATGAAACGTCAAGACTAGCAGCACGGCGAAGATATTCATTTGTTGTAGGAGATTGAAATTGATAATATAATAGTGGATTCGGATAAACTTCTTTAGGATATTTGCGACCTAAAAAATAGTTGTAGCGAATTTCATTACTAAAGTAATGAACTCAAATTATTACGTGGCTTTGACACACGAGGTAAGCGGAAATCATTAGTTTAACTGTGATAGTAAACCAAAACTCTGATTCTTGTTACAATACAAAACAGATTAGAATGATACAAGCAAAAGCAACTAAGAGGAAAAAACAGTGTAGATAACAAATTAAAAAAAAACACCAGATTTTAAACGAACAGACAGACACAACAAATCACATACCAAACACAAACGTTTGAACTTCCATGAACTATTAATACCTGGAGATAGAATGAAAGTCCGCAGTTGAGATAAGATCAATTTATAAATAAATTACATAAAATTTAGTGAGCAAATAGAATCGTGTGAAACTGAAATGTGACTCACTTGTTGTACTAAAGTGCATAATTAAATTTTTCTAACATTTATGCTTAAGTTTTTCAAATTAAAAGTTACAAGAACCTATATAAAGATATGTACTAAACAAATTAATACTATGGTAGTTAATGATTCTTTTTGATGACTGAATATGTTTAAACGGATCCAAATGGTTTGAGTTTAAACCGAAACAATAAAGACATGACAAAATACTATTGCAAAGATCAAAAAGTTACCTGTCTGAAAGTCATGGTATTTCGAATGAACGTTTGTGGAACAAGGTGGATATTGAAAAGAACAGCCACGATCAGTAGGGCGGGATAAAAAGTGCTTGTTCGTCAAATTAAACTCCTCTGTAGACGCTAATCCACAGTCGTTTTCTGAGTAAGGTATTTGCATGTAACTTGTCGAACGTTCTATTAAGGGAATATGAACTGAGTCAGATGATATTGGGCTTTTCGGCTGCGATTGCTGTCGCTGTAAGCCACGACTAGGCTGTGGACGATTGGAAATTCGACGATGCAAACGTTGAGTAACAATAGGAGAAAGTATTGCAGCCAGAGATGGACTCGAATACATATATTGGCTGCGATCTACAGGATCGTGTGGGACGAACTGAACATGACAGTTAGGTGTACAGTACTGTGGGTGTCTCAGAACATTCGTTGGTACAGTATAAGAAACCTCACGAATAATTGTTTGAGGCGGAGAGTGTATGTGACAGACTGTCGGAGGTTGGTGTTCAGTTGACATTACTGCACAAGAACACGGATTATGATTACAATGAGAAACATCTGTTGGTCTGTTACGAGATTTTGAATTTAAAACTTCATCATTGTGAAGAGCAGGCAAGCTGCCTGGGACAATAACAAACGGAGAGAAGGAGGTTTCCGGTTCTTTGGAAATGGAATCCCCAACAGATACTACTGGTATTTCACCAGGTAGACAATGATTTCCAGACAATAAAGATTTAATGGCAATACCACAGAAAGCACCATCAGAATACACTGGACCAAGATCGGTAACCAAATAAGATGGATACACAACCACCTAGGTTAGTTAGAAAAAACACAACATCAAATACAAGGAGGATACAGGAGACTAAAATTTGGGAGAACACAGAGAGTGGATGCACCTGCACCATTGCAAACGATTTTGAGCCATGTCATTCAGGGTCTTTAACCATCGGTTGCTATCATCTCACGGTCCCCAACCAGGTAGTCTACACTTATCAATATGACTCAGTCTACTTGTCAGTGACTTCATGGACTTGTGCCATGTTTTGGTCTGGCCGCCCCTAGCTTCCTTCCAACCTACTCCTATACAACAAAACATCGCACATCGAGACAGTCGGTGGTTGGGCATACGTAACACATGTCCCAGCCATCTCAACTGATGAAGTTTCACTACTTCATCAATTGATTTGCCATCCTTACCTAGTACCCGTTTCCTGACAACTGTGTTACTTACTCCATGGTCCCAGGATATACGAACAATGTTTCGAAGACACCCATGATCAAATACTAGTAACATACGGATATCCTCTACTCTTACCGGCCATGTTTCACTGCCATAAAGTAGGACGGAACGAACTGCTGCACAGTAAACACGTCCTTTGGTTGGTAGACGGATATCACACCTACGCCATAAATGACGCAAGTTGGCAAAAGCTAGTCGAGCCTTCTGCATCCGTGCTGAGATTTCGTCACACACCAGACCACAAGGGCTGATGAGACTTCCAAGATAAGTGAAGCGGTCGACACACTCAATTACTTCACTTCCTATCACTAGTTCGGGTGTCAATGCAACCCAATCCTGAAGCAACATTTTGCATTTCGAGGGAGAGAGTCCCATCCCGAACATGCTTGCATTGTTGCTTAGAGTGGTCAGAAGACTCTGCATTTTGTCAGCGTCTTCACTAAATAAAACTATGTCATCAGCATATTCTAAGTCAACAAGTGAACCTCCCGGTAGAAGTTCAACCCCTGGAAATCTAGACGAGGAAAGTGTTATCTCTAAAAGTACGTCGACGACAAAGTTGAACAAGAATGGAGAGAGTGGACAGCCCTGACAAACTCCACTTGAGGTAATCAATTCCGATGACAGTTCGCCATAAGCTCACACTCGACCAGTTGTGTTTGAGTAGAGAGCCTTTACAAGGTTAATGTACTTCTTTGGTACTCCTTTCAGTGACAAGCACTGCCACAAAACCTTACGATCAACCGAGTGGAATGCCGCCATAAAGTCGAGAAATACTACGATTGTGGGGTGTCTGAATGTGTGTCTGTGTTCTAGAACCTGACGTAGTGTGAATATCTGGTCTATACAACCACGTCCAGGTCGAAAACCAGCCTGGTTTTCTCTAATCTGCTCTTCACGAGCTTTGGTTAGGCATCGAAGCGAATATTTTAGACACTATATTAGTCAAACTGATTCCTCTGTGATTGTCATAAGAGGACCTTTGTCCTTACTTATAGACTGGCACAATCAGTGGTTGAGATCAGTCAAATGGGATTACGTCCAGTTCTCAAATTCTACCTAAGACCTCAGTCAATCTCGCTGCTAATACTGGACCGCCATCCTTAAAAATCTCAGGGGTACCATTCTATCTTGTCATTTGCGAAATAGTTACGTTCCTATTCAGTGGCGTTATGGTTTGGGAACTTTTTGAGTGAATAAAGGTGTTCGAAAAAAATAGTAAGCTGGGTTGTAATAGGAGAAATCATAACACTACTTCATTGATGTAGATCGTCTGCAAGCTGTTGATAACACGTTTATTGCCTAACAGTTAGGTTGCTTATCATATGACCTATAAGAAATGAGTAAAACAAGAGGCCTATACGTCGAAGGACATGGTTCATTTTTACAGCCTGGTTTCCCATTCTGCCTTTACACCCCAAACTGGAGACTTTTGTAAAAGTAGTATGAATTGTTGTTTGTCAGAAAACGGCAGTGGGGCGTAGCTGATGTTTTGCCTAAACGGGGCCAGGGTAAATGTATAGAGAGTTTTGATACAGAAAGTAGCTACCTTAAGGCAAAAAGCCATAGTCTGAGCTGCGGGATGGATTTTCAATACGAAGGTACTGAGTAGTTCGCACTTTTTGACCGACACTTTGGTCGATATTGACTTTGTATTAACTAAAGACACTAAATATTAACGGTAGATCGTGATGGATGTAGACCTTCTCTGGAGTAATGAAGCTTGAAATGATGTGCCAGAACAGTGATGATCAAGTTACACCTAAATTACGTAAATGACTCTGGCGAGACCTCACCATGCACATTTGGTTGCAGTCAATTTTGTCGACTGGTCCATGTCTACAGTTTCAAAATCTCACTTGTCACGTCCACACACATTAACTAATATAAAGCTGGAATTTGACACGGTCCGTTGAGAAATATTTGGACACAAGATCTAACGTGCTTCAAATACCATATGCGTCAGACTAGTTCTAAATTCCCTACTTAGTGTGGTGTGATGTCGGTCAAATTCAAAAGATATGAACAATATGATGATTTTAAAAAATATCTTAAAAGTCGTTCGTGATTTATATTCTCTCATGGACAATGTACATCTACTTTTGCTTAGAAAATTTATATTTTGGTATTGCCCAAAATATCAACTGATTTATGTAAAATGAATTTCAAGTGCATAAGTACTGTGTAGACTAACCTTTTTGTTCGACTGAGTCTTATAAACAGAATGTTCGCTATGTAGATCTACTGGACAGCTAGTTGATTCAAACGGCCACATGGATGACTGCAGGTAATAATCTGCACCCCGATCGAGTATCACTTCTGTGCGTTTAACGTGAGGTGTTACAGGAACAGATACTGAACCCGGAGCAAATCGATGGTCAGTATACTTAGAATAGACAGGGAAGGAATTTGCTGGAATGTTTGGATATAGAGGGTCAGTATAAACCAAATTATTTTGGTCTATCTGAATACCATCATCCCAAGATTTTCCATGATGTACTGGGTATCCATCCAAATTGGTTACTGGTGGATAGAAACTATAGTCATCAAAGTAGTTGCCACATCGGTCACCATTCATATCACTAGTAGTTTTATCATTATCTACAGTGGGATTAGAAATAGATTTCTGGTCATCATCATCGTCATTCAACGTTCGGGATATATGCATACCGTCCATTTCAACGTCTTTTTGATTTTCTTTCCTCGTGGGACTGAAAGCAACTTTACAATTGTATTGAGTGGATATACATTGAGAAGTATGAGTGGAGGTCGAATTGGCTACGTAGGTATTGATCAAACGATTATGGTTATCAGAGGTGTAAGGGTTTTGGCGCTTTTGCTGATGTATTAGTGCCTCTTCAAGTTGAGCACACCGAGCCTCTAAAACTGATTTAGCTTCTAAAGCCTCAGCTTTTTCTGCACGTGCTTTTGCCAGTCGTGCTCTTTCAACCTAATTTCAAAGGAAACTTGGTAGATAATAAATTGGAAATAAATAATAAACAATTCGAAAAAATTCGAAGTTTCAGTTGCATAAATGTAAACAATTGATGCGCATACATGTAGATGTGGATGATTTGTTTCAAACTTACACTGCGAAAAAGTAAAATGCAGAAGGATAATACAGAGACATAAGGAGAATATTAATTCAGTAACAAAAAAATACTGAGAATGTAGAAAATGACATCTCAATTGAAATAATCTGAAAAGATACTAAAATGGTAGGTTACCTCTCGTCTGGCTCTCTCTTCTCTTGCTTGTGCTCTCATTTGCTGGACCTCAATGCTATCCGGCTGACGACGTCTCATGAACAGTGAGTGGTTACCAGCACACATAGACATAACTGTTTTAGCTTGATTTGGGTCTGCCAACCAAACTTCAACAACACTGATTAATACAGTCTCAGAATTCAGATTGGACGATTTAAGCAAACTTTTCGACGGCAGCGAGACATTGTTTTCCGCAGACTGAACCCTAGGGCCACGAAGACAATTCACACTAGTCCTAGTAACTGCGAATTCATTAGCAGAGTAACGAGAGGATTTGATTGATAAACCAGGAATGCAGCGTGAACCTAGTTCAAGAACTAAACAAGGAACTACATATTATATTAAAATTTAAAGAATCGAGCAGCAGATTTTTCCAGTGAATATTCGTTTACATTGTACATACAATTAAATAATAACTACATCAGAAGTGCACAAATTATTTATAATTCTTAAATCCAGAGAGCGACAATGAACAATAATAATCCATTTACTCAATACCACAAATTGTGGTGCAGCAAAAAATCTACAGCATCAGCTGTGTAATATTCTAAGATCCATTCCATTTGTAACTTTTCAAAACACCTTTTTTATAAATGTTACCTAACATTTAGTATTGATCATCAAAGTTTAGCTGCCACGACTACTTTTCAACCCATCATATATATATTGCTTGAATTCAAATATATTTGCCTCTCGTTTTGTAAAAGCATATATAAAAAAGAAAATACGCCAAGAACTTTAGGACTTATGTTACAGTTTTCCAGTAATATGTACTGAAAATATTTTGTAAGCCATTAATAAAGCGCGAATGCATAAACCTAGCATTCATAATCAACAAAACTAAAACGTCTGGAAACTAGAAATATGTATCGGTTTGTTTCGATGTACATTTTTTGCTGACTTCAACCAATTTTTACTAATTTCCAAAACCTTTTGTGTACAAAATTTACGTAAATGATACGTATAACTGAACACAAAATTATGCGAAAAAAGTTATACTATTAAAATATATTATAACATTTGCTTCTTCATTCTTCCTTCATATATCAGTACGAATCGTTAGTACACAATTTATCCCAAAAGTCCGATGGAACAAGAGAAGAATTTCAGGATTGGAAGTCTTACTAGTAGTTATTGTTCATTATTTTAAAATCAAATTATACTGTAGTTAAAGAATGTGAAAAGTATGCAAGGGTTTTAGACATAAACGAAAAAGACAGCAAATTGTAAACTGTAAAACGTCAGGTAATCACAGAGTAGAAGCTGACACGTAAGTACACCGATATAAAATTGTCAAGTCAAAACTAAGAATAGAGGAGTTAATAAAGGTATGAGTGATGATTGAGAAGCTTAGATATCGAAGATACGATAAACGAAAATATAAATTGGAGTAATTTTAAACAACGAGGAAATCAGAAGCTTGAAATCTTAAAGACACAAGGAATGGGAACACCTGTGCCATTACAAAAGATTTTCTCACGGAGATGGTAATCTGTGTGGTAAGGTGAGGTGTGAAATTCTAAGGGCCGACCTCTTATAACCACTTCCATCCGTTATGAGAGGGCACCATCTCTGCAGATGATAGTTGTCCGAGGGAAACACCATGCTGCTATCACCAGTACGAATTCACCCTTCAGACCGTAAGTTGCAGCTTTAAGCCTTAACGTCCTCCAACCGACCTGCCTGGCATGTTAGGACCTAAAGAAACATATGTCTCAGCCAATGAAGCTCGGTTGAGTCATCATGATAGGCAAGCCCGACCAACACGTCAAGGTAGCAGCCACCGTTGGGACTACTATTTACACGAAAAGATGACACATTAGTTACTTTCAGTTCAGCTTACCTTTAGCACGACCTTTGAAGCCTTTTGAAGCACCCAGTTGTTGTGCAGTTTCGCATGATTCAAACTTGGAAACAGCTCTTGGAGATGAAAGGTTAACAGACGTATCAAGTAAATTTGGAGAAACAGGTGGAACTGAAGGGATAAGACGAGCTGATATTGGAGTGCTAGGTAAGCTTGCGGCAGACGTCCCACTACCTCCTGCACTAGAACCTACAGCAACACCAACAAAAGCTTGGCCTGTGATACTAATAAGAGGACTACGATTGGGCTGACTTGCTTTTGATGAAATAACAGCTGGTCCTCTGGTTTCATTCAATAAGGTAGGGACAGATGTATTTTGACTAGGTTTGTTGGTTCCACGACAGGTACTGGTCAACTTGATCGTAAACTAAACGATGATTAAAAAGAAACCAACTTAAAAAGAAATTTGGGAACACAAACAAGAAAGAGACAATTTCGCCGAGTAAAAATGGAAATTTTATAGTCTTTCATCTGCTGATCTCAAGGATATTACTATTCTCCATTTAGTAGGTTGTTCGCTTTCTGTAGTAAAAATTAGTGACGAAATATCTTCACATCCGCAGAGCTTTATTGATTAGGGAACGGACGAAGACAAACAATTCACTTTGTTTTATACCTGATTATACATGAAACAGAACATAATTCAGTGTGAGCAGAATACAGAAGTCAAAAAACAAATGATCAGAAACATGTAATTAGTTTTGTACTTGCATTATAACCAGTTGTATAAGTGTGAGCTTCTTTAATAAGATTCGTTATCGCGGTTATTTTTATTGACTCTGACCCTATTTTACATATTTTAATGTACAAGATGTTTGGTACAATCTATACATAAGTTATTTGTACAACTACATGCAAAAGTTTGCGGAAAAATAGGTTTTACTACCAGCTAGTTTTTAAGATGAATAGTCGATCGTTGGGAAACCATAATGCAAAAGCTATGAAATAAATCGAAGCAACAGAATATTAGAAAATGTTTCGGATTTGTTGACCGATTTTCGTTCAACTGAATTTTATATTTTAGGTGTGTGTGAGGGCTAGTGAGGTTACATAGTCTCCCAAACAGATGAGGTGGGGGTTGCATCAGAAACCTATTGCTTGAAAGAATAATTTTTAAACCACAGTAATCACTTCATTTCACAGATAGCAATCCGTTAGCAAAATAAAAGATAAATTTGTCCGGTCTTGAAATGCTTAATATTTGGTAGTTGAAATCGATACAAACAGTAACATTTCTGATTGAATTGTACGAAATGTAATATAATGAGGGTTACATTGGAATAAGTTATATTTTTGATCCGTGGAAATTTTCGCCAAAAGCGGATTGAAATATGAAAAGCAGCCATTAACTTTGAAATTGTAAGCTAGATATTTGATTCATGAGGTACTTGGCAATGAAAATGTACGAAAATAGGTTCATGACAGTCATCAATCATTTAATGAGTCCAAGCTATAAATAACAACACTATTTAGATCCAAAAAATATTTTACTGAGTATCCTAGATAACATGAGAGATGATATGGTAAAATTATTGGGATAATAAATGTTTGACAACAATATTAAAATATACTGTGAGGGTAAAAATGGTTGTTGTTTATTCAGCAATTAAGATGTGAATGACCTACAAGGAATGAAAGTCTATAGAGCATGATATGGTGGAAATGTTGTGAATTTGGTTGAGCGATACAATTAAGTGAAAAAACAGCTCACTTTGCGTTCGCGATATGAAACATTTTTTATCATATTCCAAGGAAATGTAAATTGAGGTGGATCACGTTGACACTTTCCATACAGTTGAAGACCTGCTGCTGTAACACCAAGCCAAGCATTTGTGTGACATTGATTCTGGTAGAAAGAATGGGAGCAAACAAAATATCATCGTATATGCATAACCACCATCAGTACATGGATTATAAATATTAACTTGGTAATTTATCCCAAAATAGCAATCAGATATCCACAGTATTTTGGATGAGCCGCAACTCATCTGTCAAAGAGAACCCAAAAGGATTGTAATAAGATACTTATTGGTATGACTTTTCAATTTGACTGATTGTATACTTAGCCCTGACTACTTCGTTAAATATAATCGACAGACGAAATACTCAAACGCCTTTACGAAACAAGCTGAACATCATCTGTGAAAACATATGACGTACATAATGGGGTCCTAAAATATTTGAATGGAGTAAAAAATTCAGCAGGTACTTGAGCATGGGCTACACTCTAAGTGTGAGAGTTAGTGATACTACCCGATCGCCCAAACTGTAGTAGTTAAGGTGAGGTCCATACATGGGACTTAATAGTTAGAAGTCGTACGCCTTAACCACTCAGTTACAAAAACCCATCCCCAAAAAATATCTAGACATATGAACAGACACAAAACCTTTAGGCGACCGTTGATATAAACGTAGGTGATTAGTTCACAGTAGAACTCCAAATGGTGCATCTCCAGTTTTATGGCAATGCATGTAAAAAAATTTCAGAAGTCAATTATTGCTGGTAAATTGTGTGGGGATGTGAAAATTTAGCTGTGTGGCTAGCTCAACGTGACAGTTTGATGTTAGTTGTATTTCCAAGTTTCCAGTTCCATCCTGACCACGATATTAATGAAGCTACATCTACTACAACAACATATGGTGATATTTAGGTGAGACTGAAGCTTTGGGTATTGTTCATATAATTTAACAATGAACCTAAACCGAATGTATATCTGTATAAAACCAGCCAAAGATGGCAAATGAAATACTTGAAAAATTAAATAGATTTTATTTGTCACAGGCGGAAACAGGGAAGTGGGCTAAATGGTTTGAGACTATAATGAATAGTATCCTGATGCTGTATGGTTGAAATTAAACAACAGAAAGGTCTGCAAATGAGGCTCATTAACTACTGTCAACTACTATGAAACAGAAAACTAAAAAATTCCAGAGAACGATGTAACACAATTAAAAAATGAGTGAAAACAGATCACTAAGATGCATTTTCAGCCATGCAAATAAACAGTTATTATACGATCCATCAGAATGTATCTTTTCTGTTTATTTTATGACACCTTAAATTACGCACTAACATGACCCCAAACGCCCTGATACTGCCGAGAGTGACGAGAGTCTGCTCTCCTTCTCGAAATACTCTCACACGGCCACGCGTAAACAGCCTCTACCAGGGAAGTCCTACTCTTTGCCTTCTCACAGCGGGGGTGTTGTTTACGGAATTTAGAGGACGAAAACCGAGTGTCCGGCACTTTAACCGGATCACAAGCCAATGGTGTATATGGGCTCCAATCGTTGGTCACCGGATACCACGGGACTGCATCTCTTTACGATGAGAGCATTATATCTTAACAGACATATATGACAAAGTCAAATGAGAATAGAAAAAGCAGACAACACATCTTCAGCTTTTGTTATCCACGACTGCCCATGATCATTGAGTAGCCTTTTCATCAATCTGCAATCAGGCTGCCTCCTCTCCTTATCGTTTTCAAAGCTTGATGAAACATAGTAAAATTACCTGCTACGAGTACTATATCTGAGTGTCTACTTTTTTAGGAGATGAAAAGCCTTCCATGAATGTTCATTTTTCAAATTCATCTGAACTACAATTATTGAGAACGCGGGGATAGGCAATGATGAGACAACGACGTGTCCCTATATCCCCGAGTTTTGTTATCTCGTTTAGTCGAACAACGCACAAGCGCCTATCTAGCAGAATCCGGTCAAGGAATACCTGTTCTGTTTTTCAACCTAGTGCTGTACCTACACCGGTGAAGTCACAGGAAGTATTAGTGGGGTCTCCAGATACACAGGGTAAATCACCCTGATTGAATTGTGTTCAAACAGATTACCACACTCGAATTTTGTATGCATGTATCGGAGATACAACACACGTCGACAGCGCGATATTCTAGAGTCCTAGTCAGGGAAGTCTGTGATAATATTTGACATAAGTTTCGAACACTCAAAGCTCCTAAATGTAGTTCAGAACGGTTTCTTTTAGTGGGATATAAATTTGATTTATTTATTTGAACATATAATATTGGTACAAGGCGGCACCAGATATATATGCACCGAATAAATTTCATTTGGTTTGTTTGAGGGCTGTGATCCTACCCGTGTGCCCAAACCGAAGCAGATGGTTTTCCTAAGGGGCTACACCCCGAGCCTTTGACCTAAAGGTCTAATCCACAAGGCAGTGGAGCATCGTAAGGAGATGCAGTCCCATGGTAGCTGGTGACCAACGATTGGTTCATACGCTAGTTGTTCCTGCAGGATACTGGAGCCCATGTGCACCATTGGTTTGGAATCCGGTTAAAGCGACGGACATTCGCTTTTCGTCCTCTCAATTTCGTAAACAACACCCTCGTCACGAGAAGGTAGTGAGTAGAACTTCCCTGGCAGAGACTGTATACGCGTGGCCGTGTGAGAGCATTTCGAGAGGGAGAGCGGGCCCACTCCGCTCTCAGCCATACCAGGACATTAGGGGGCTCCGTTTTCTATAACATTAGCCTTATCCTCATGCCCCATTAGTGTTTACGGACTAGATCCTGGTTTTATGAAACTTTTACTTTCTGTTAGTACGACCTAGCTACTATTGCTCAGTATTCTTGGACACTACTTCACTCGACAAGTCCCAACTCAGAACACGGTTGAACAGGGACGTAATTATATTCCAAGTATTCACTAGCGCTGATTGGATAAGAACTAGCCAATCAACGTGCCCCAACACAATCCTGTACGCAACGTGCTTTAATCAAAACTGGTCGAGGATGTATTGATCATATCTTTGCCCTCCGCCAAATGTTAGAACACCGCCATACTTATCAAAGGCCAACAATCGTAGTGTTTCTTGACATCAGGGCTGCCTTCGATTCGTTGGACAGGGCTGTTCTCTGGGATTGTCTATTGAAGAAGGGTGTGCTTGAGAAGTTTATTAACATCCTAAATGCCCTATATACAAACACCTCGGGTAGAGTGAGGGCATACAACCACCTCTCTCCATTGTTCCATTCGAGCAGTGGGGTTAGGCAGGGTTGCTCAATCTCACCATTCCTCTTCAACTTTGCCATCGATGACATTCTGGAAACAGCTCTGATGAATGTAAGTAATGGTGGTGTGGATCTGTTGCCTGGAGAAAGACTTCTCGACCTTGAGTATGCGAACGATATCGTCTTACTGTCCGATAATGCCCAAGCCATGCAATCCGCACTTAATCAGCTGGCAATCAGTGTCCATAGGTATGGTATGTGCTTTGCACCTTCGAAGTGCAAAGTACTTCTACGAGACTGGCAGGATCCCAATCCTGTACTCATCCTGGATGGTGAGCAGATAGACGTAGTCGAGAAGTTCGTGTATCTGGGTAGCTGCATAAGTGCTGGTGGTGGCGTGAGTGATGAGATCAATGCACGAATAGTGAAAGCCACAGCGGCTTATGCCAATCTGGGCCACCTTCGGCGCCTTCGTGATGTTAGTCTGGCTGTAAAAGGTCGGATCTACAACGCGTCAGTGAGAGCAGTTTTGCTCTATGCTTGTGAAACCTGGTCTCTCCGAGTTGAGGATGTTAGACGACTCTCCGTGTTCGATCATCGCTGTCTCCGAAGGATTGCTGACATCCAGTGGCAACACCATGTCAGTAGTGCAGAGGTTCGGCATCGTGTGTTCGGGCACAGAGATGATAATGCAATCGATGTCACCATCTTGAAACACCGACTTCGGTGACTTGGACATGTTCTACGAATGTCCTCCCAGAGAATTCCACGTCGTGCATTATTTGCCGACTCTGGGACTGGTTGGGAAAAGCGGAGAGGTGGTCAGTGCATGACATGGTGTCGTGGCATGAAAGAAAGCTGCAAAGGACTGGCTTGTGTTGGACCTTCACGACTCCCTGGTTGGGGCCCGAGAGATGGTGCAACACAGTGGCTAGAGACGTTATCAGATATGGCTCAGAATAGAAGCCAGTGGCGATCCTGCTGTAACCTTCTTTTACTTTCTTCATAAAAAGTGGTTGTGTCTCCCTTAACTGAAAGATTTCTTCTGATTGTACCTTTCCGCTCCCCCATTATTACTACATTACCTTACACCAATCTCTTCGTTATTGTTCTCTTTTTCTTACACACCTTACCTTTTTTTCTCTTCCAATTCTGATTCTTTTGTGTGGCGCATATATATTGGCGCTCTCTTGTACCAATATTCATGTGTTCAAATAAATAAATAAATAATTTTAAATAGAGCAAGAACAAACATTGATACAGAATAGTATGAATTCATATTATTTCGAGGTTTCTCGTCAGCTGCTTAGAAACCAAAATTGTGGTAGATTTTTTTTACATGGAGATAAATAAATAAATGCATTAACATAACATTATTCAATGAAATAGCTTACAGTGTTGTCCCAAAGAGTTGATTCGTTCTGTGTCGAGCTTAAATTTCGAGGAAACTTCATCCGAGCATACTGAAAGAAACATGAGAGTAACGGAACCATTGGTTTGACACTGAATAATAGAACAATATCAATACTAAGCTCATGAGATACGGGAACGCTTACTATATCAAAAATCCTAGGATTTCGAGTACAACGTCTCTAGCTTTGGGTCAACAAAGGGGGGAGGATGTAGACTTCTTAACTAGTTTAATTTAGACGAGAGTGATGTAATAATTTTGTATTTATCGGTTTTCAGATTGTTTTACAGAAGCTCTCCAATATTTGCCCAACTTCCAGTATCAAACCTATCTTTTCTCACACTAGATCTGACTAAATGCTACCCTCAATTTCGTGCGACTGAGCCCCACACCATTTGTTCAAGATTTCAATGTTCATATAGTAACTCTGTATCTCATCTCATCGACGTTTGCTATGTATGTGAAATAATTACACAGGAACTTAGTATGATCATTCTTTTGACCACATTTAGAATCAATATGATTCAACATTTGCATATCTGAAGACTCTGAAGAAGCACCCCGTGGTCTTGCATGTGCAAGCATATGAATAAACTCGAAGCATTGTATGATTCGACTTTTATCGACAATCACTTGAGTACTGTTCGAATAAAAGAACTCAGAAAAATATCAAAACATCTCATTGGCTCTTCGTCGTTTCTGCTAACACATACACTGACTGAAGCTCAGAAGAAAAAGAAGTTATATCAGTAGATTTCTGATATGTAGTTGGTAATCCTGGCCTCGAAAAAAGTGGGCAAAGTTAAACTGAAAGATACTTAGACGGGGCATTTACCATACCAATCAAGTGAAAAAGTAACGGTATCTGTTGCAGTGGTGGTTAGGCAACCCAAACATACCGATAGACATTCTCGAACCCAGTGACCCACAGCATCATTATAGCGACGGGTGCCATTGGTGAAGATCGATAGTCAATGACAAAGTTGAACAAGAAAGGAGAAAGTGGACAGCCCTGACGAACACCACTTGAGGTAATCAATTCTGACGACAGTTCGCCATAAGCTCTCACTCGACCAGTTGTGTTCGAATAAAGAGCCTTTACAAGGTTAATAAACTTCTTTGGTACTCCTTTCATCGACAAACACTGCCACAAAACCTTACGACCAACCGAGTCAAATTCTGCCTTAAGCTCGAGAAATATTACGATTGTGGGGCGTCTGAATGTGTGTCTGTGTTCTAGGACCTGACGTATTGTGAATATCTCGTCTATACAACCACGTCCAGGTCGAAAACCAGCCTGATTTTCTCTAGTCTGTTCTTCAAGAGCTTTGGTTAGGTGTCGAAGTATTATTGAAGATAATATTTTAGACACTATATTAGTTAAGCTGATTTCTCTGTGATTGTCATAAGAGGACTTTTGCCCTTCTTTATGGACTGTCACAATCAGTGATGGAGACCAGTCAGATGGGATTACGTCCAGTTCCCAAATTCTACCTAGGACCTCAGTCAATCTCGCTGCTAATACTGGACCGCCATCCTTAAAAATCTCAGGAGTGAACCTGTCAGGGCCTGCTGTTTTCCCTGGCTTCAGATTTCCGATAACTTTTTCAACTTCATAAAGAGACGGAGGACCTAAATTAACTTGCCATTCAGGTTGACTGGAGATCGTGGGAAACCGAAGTGTGGCTGAAATGATCCATGAAGTGTTCTGCCCATCTATCCAATCTCCTGGATTGAGAGTGAATAATATGTCGATTTTTTCCGAGATAGTTTCGTTAACAGTTGGGTTCCTAATACCGGATTCCTTAAAAAGTCTGAACAATTGTCTGCTATTTCCTATTGCCGCTGCCTTTTCTATCTCTCTTGCTTTCACTACCCACCACTGTTCACGATCATTGCGTAGACTTCTTGTCAGCTTGCGCTTAAGCTGACTCCGCTCTTCGTTATGTTCAGATCCAGATGGAATGAGTTTCCGAGCATCTATCAGTGCGATAGATGCTGCTGAGATCCGGTGTTGCTTCCCAACCTTACAGTTTGCCGCACTAGCAGATATCATTGCTGTTTCCACAGCTTTTCGGATATCATTCCATGCTGCCTTGGGGTGGGCATCACATACATGGCTGCCTAACTGTTTTCCTAGTTGTTCCTGAAATATACTCTTAGTTTGACTATCATTAAACAGGACCCTAAGAGGTTTCCTTGAAGCGTCTTTCCTACGTCCAATAAGACGCAGACAGATACGCGCTCGTACTAGAGCATGATCTGAATCTAAGCATGTGCTCCAGAATGAGCGACAGTCTTCTATTGAGCCCCTCCATCGGTGGCTGATGGCAATGTGATCTATTTGGGTCCAACGTTGGGACGAATTAGGGGGTCGCCATGTTAGAAGATGTTCTTCCTTATCCTTAAAGCTAGTATTTGCAAGAAACAGGCAGTTATCTGAGCATAGCTGCAACAGACGGTCGCCATTATCTGTTCTTTGAGCCACGACACTATAAAATCCACCCAGGTGTCTTTCCCTATCGCTTAGTTTACCTACTTGAGCATTAAAGTCACCAGCCACTATTACTACATCAGAGCGCCTAGCTTTTAGGAGGAGGTCGGAGAGCTTTCTGTAAAACTCATCTTTTACATCATCTGCGCTGCAGTCAGTGGGAGAATAGGCAGAGACGACGAAGAGGCAACGAAGAGTGTCCCTATCTTTTCGGATCCTTACTGTTCCGTTCAGTCGGACAGCGCACAAACGACTGTCTACTGGGATCCACTCTAAGAGAGCTAGTTCTGCCCTAGGACTCAATACTATACCTACGCCGGCGAGGCCACGGGAAGCAGAATCCGGGCTTCCAGATACACGAAGCGTAAATCGAGTCGGTTCTTTATTTTGGCATGGTGAGTTCAAGTGAATGACGCTACTCGGATCACGTATGCGCGTTCCGGAGACGCAGCACACATCGATGGCGCGAGATTCTAAAGTCCTAGCTAAGGAAGCCTGCTGTCCTATTTGGCAAAGTGTTCGTACGTTAAAAGCTCCTACGTGTAGTTTAGAGCGTGATTTTAGGAGACCAGAAATAGCGTTCCACGTACTCGAATCGTTTGCCCTAGCGGTGCGAGGTGAAAAAAGGACGTGAGAAGGGTTAGTCATTGGGGGTTCCAGCACCAAGCAAAGGTCACTTAAGTAACCCCGCAGACGTGACAGTGACAGGCAAAACAAAAGAGACAAGTTAAAAGTTCGGTGTTCACGAAATAATCTACGAAAACGATAGTCTTGACTGTTTAGGATAACGGACAGACCACCTCAACTACAGCTCAAACACTTTTCAGTCGTCTACTAGTCATAAATAGCCTGAATGAGATACCAAAATTAGGCTTCAACAGTAAAAAAAGCTATAAATAACTGGAAGAGATGAACGTAAAAATATTTCACACACATAGTTCCTTTTATCATTTTGGAAAGAGCAGTATTTGAAGATGTCTGGCTACAGTTGAATATAATTCTGCCGACTATCATTTAGGTGCTGGAATTTGGAAAGCTTATTAAATAAGTACTGTAGGTCGTGACCGATCACTTATCTAATTTGATTACACAGATGCTTCTAGAAATAACAGCCTTTGTTCGAAACTATATGAAATCGATCTCCTTATCACTACTACTAGTACACTTGTCTTCATAGTATCCATTTGCACTATTTATCTGTTATTTGTAGTCATGCAATCTATTTCAATGTGATGATTGGCTTATAAATTGCCTCGATCGATTTATATTTTCATATAAATATCCATGTATATTAAAGTCTGATGACGATCTAACTTGACACTATCGTTTGCTTATGTTTTGTTCTAACTGATATATCATATTTACTTATCGACTTAAAGTACCCGGATGACAGTTCAATTTGCTGAGAATGCTGAGGAAATGAAGTCCTTTAAATCTCCTGAGTATGAATGTAATACTGTTTGAGACCCATTTCTCTCCTCTAAACTTGAAATATTAATTCAGAAATGGTTTGAGTTGCTGTCTGACTAGAAAATAGCAAGAATAGTAGTTGAGTGCAGTGTTAATTTCATTTATTTGGGAAGTTGCATTAGCCTTGAGTGATCGAGACTTATTAAATCTTGTATAAGGATATAGTACAGGAAGAAAGATTTAGTACGTAGAAAGATATCAACCAATTTTAATCTCTTAGTTTAAGGGAAGACAGAGAGTGTATACACCCACGCCATTGTGATTGATTCTGAGCCATGTCACTAAGAGTCTCCAACCATTCGTTACGATAGTTACGTGGAACCCAACCAAGTAGTCTGCATCTATCAACATGACTCAGACCAGAAGTTAGTGACTTCAAGGACTGACGCCACGTTTTAGTTTGACTGCCAGTAACTTTCGTCCAACCGTCTCCAACACTAGTCAGCATTGCACGTCGTGGTGATCAGTGTTCAGGCACAAGTAACACGTGGACCAACCATCTCAGTCGATGAAGATTTACAACCTCATCAACTGATTCCCTAATACCCTGTGTCTAACCTCACTATTACTTACTCGACGATCCCAGCAGATGCGAGCACTCTTTGATCAAATAATGGTAACTTACGAGTATCTTCTAATCTTAATGGCCACGTTTCGCAGCCGTAAAGTAGAACAGAACAAACAGTCACGCAGTATACTCATCCATTAATTGATAGACGGATATCGCTTTCGCCATAGGTGACGTAAGTTGGCAAAAGCCAAACGAGCTTTCTGAATCCGTACAGAGATTTCGTCAGACACCAACCCATTAGGGCTGATCAGACCTACAAGATAAGTGAAGTTATCGATGCGTTCCACTACTTTACTACCTGTCCCTAGTTCAGGTGTTGACGCAGGCCAGTTCTAGCATTGCTGCTCAGTGCTACCATAAGACTGCATTTTATCAGTGTCTTCACCAAACAGGACTATATCATCTGCGTATTCTAAGTCGATAAGTGGACCTCCTGGTAGGAGACCAATACCCGAAAATTCAGTCGACGAGAACATTATTTCCATCAATACGTCTATGATGAAGTTTAACAAAAATAGAAATATTGGACAGTCTTGACGGACACCACTTGTGATTGCAAAATCAGATGACATTTCGCCATAAGCTCTGACTAGACTGGTAGCATTGGAATAAAAAGCCCTCACAAGGTTTATGTACTACTGAGGAAAACCTTTCACTGACAAACACTGCCACAGAACCTCTTGGTCAACAGAGTCAAATGCTGCTTTTAAGTCAAGGAAAACCACCATTGTCGGACGCCGATAAGCATGCCTGTGTTCTAAAATCCGACGAATGGGAATACGTAGTCGATGCAGCCACGACCAGGTCTAAAGCCTGCCTGATTTTTTCGTTTTTGCAGGATCTAAACTAATGGGTCATCTAGGAATGATAGTGGTTATCTATAATCTTTATGACAATAAAAAACATTGAGATCGTGGAAGTAATATTCAACAAGTTGCCGTTGACTACGTTTTCGTTGAAAATCTTACATTCGGAGTGGAGTCCGCAGGTGACAGATGTTTATCCAAAGAAACAAGTGCAATGTTTCTTGCACTAGAGAGAACAAGCACAACGACGACCTATTATTGTGTACAGATGAATTAAACATAGTCCATATTCAAAATTTCTGATATAAAACATTTTTATTAAAACGGATACTTACGACAATAGGGAAAAAATCCACCCCAAAAAGGTTATGCATCTGGGCTACTTTGAGATACTGAAGTTCCGCCTTGTCGCTGTAATATTATTTAAAATGGAAAGTGATGTTAAAAACAAACCGATTCATTCCCTTGTGGGATTTATAATGTTCCCGAAACTTCTGTGTTACACCTTGAGTGGACTGTATTTGGGTCCATAGTTGAGCTGGGATTAATCTGAGAATACGGCGTGGTAAGTATGTGAGTTCCTCTGTATCACTAAGCTCTTCCTCGCAAAGATCACCGTATTCTGCCTACAAAAAACATTGACTCTAAAAGTAAAACTAGTTTTTTTAAATATATATAACTGGCAAATTCAACAATCAACAGAGCAAGCAAACCGGCAATTTAGCAACAAAAACTTTCGTTTCGCTAACAAATTTTACGGTTGCTAAAGTAATCGTTATTAATATAACGGCCATGAGCTTAACGTAACTATGACTTTAGAAACATGGTAATTGCAAGTAATCAACAATGATTTCCATTGGTGATTCTAATTCGTAAACTACTATGAACTGTGCTGTTTTCCTGTCATCGATTTTTACTGAAAGATAAAAGCGTTACAACGAAACACGTGTACCAACCACCTCAGTTGGCAACGATTTACTACCTCGTCAAGATATTTCCCATCCTCACCACTACACTATTCTTAGCCCAGGCACTACTTACTCAATGGACCTAAACTACACGAGCAATTCTTCGAAGACACCTATGATCGAATACTAGTAACCTACGAATATCCTCTACTCTTAATAGCCACGTTTCACAACTATGAAGTTCGGTGGATTGAAGTGTTGTACGCTAAACTTGTGCTTTTGTTGGCAAACGGATGTCCCACCTTCGCCACAAGCGACGCAAGTTGACAAAGGCCAATCGAGCTTTTTGAATCCATGCCGGGATTTCGTCAGACACCAACCCATCGGGACTAATGAGACTCTCATGATAAGCGGACGGTAGAAGCACCCTACTCTCCCACTTACTATTATTAGTTCAGGCCCTGATGCTGTCCAGTCTTGAAGCAACATTTGACATTTTAAGTGAGACAATCGGATCCCAAAAATGTTGGTGTTGCTCTCTAAGGTGGTCAGAAGACCCAGCATTTTGTCAACGTCTTCACCAAACAAAATTATATCATTTGCGTATTCTAAGTCAACAAGTGAATCTCTTAGTGAAAAATGAGCTCCTGAAAAGTCAGACGATGAGAGCATTATATCTTAACAGACATATATGACAAAGTCAAATGAAAATAGAAAAAGCAGACAACACATCTTCAGCTTTTGTTATCCACGACTGCCCATGATCATTGAGTAGCCTTTTCATCAATCTGCAATCAGGCTGCCTCCTCTCCTTATCGTTTTCAAAGCTTGATGAAACCGAGAACCGATCAGTTACGTAGACGCCAGAGAAATCCAGTGATTTTTCTTAAACTGGTTTTAATTACTGTTAGATAACACTGCTCATGTGTTTGGTCATCGTGTCAAGCTATCTCGGGGTGGATATCACTTTCATGCCTGATTAACTCCTTTAGTTGTTCCTGGAAAATATTCTTGGTTTTTTAATCACTAAGCCGGACTCCAAGAGGTTTCCTGCTGTGACTTTTCTGCGTTCAGTGAGACAGATAAACACGCGGTCGTACGTGCTCCAAAATAAGCCCCAGTCTTATCAAGCTTCTTCAAAGATAGCTGATTGCAACAAGGTATATTCGTATCCATTGTTGAGCCACTTTTAGGTCAGCATTATAGGTAATGTCTCTGTTTATACTTGAAGTTAGTTCCAGTTAGAAATAAGCGGTATTCTGAGCATAGTCGAAGATGGTCTCTATGAGCTATTATTAGCTGAGTTGGTGCAACGTGATACCCACACAAGTACCTTTTAGTTTGCATAGGATTACCAACATAGTAAAATTACCTGCTACGAGTACTATATCTGAGTGTCTACTTTTTTAGGAGATGAAAAGCCTTCCATGAATGTTCATTTTTCAAATTCATCTGAACTACAATTATTGAGAACGCGGGGATAGGCAATGATGAGACAACGACGTGTCCCTATATCCCCGAGTTTTGTTATCTCGTTTAGTCGAACAACGCACAAGCGCCTATCTAGCAGAATCCGGTCAAGGAATACCTGTTCTGTTTTTCAACCTAGTGCTGTACCTACACCGGTGAAGTCACAGGAAGTATTAGTGGGGTCTCCAGATACACAGGGTAAATCACCCTGATTGAATTGTGTTCAAACAGATTACCACACTCGAATTTTGTATGCATGTATCGGAGATACAACACACGTCGACAGCGCGATATTCTAGAGTCCTAGTCAGGGAAGTCTGTGATAATATTTGACATAAGTTTCGAACACTCAAAGCTCCTAAATGTAGTTCAGAACGGTTTCTTTTAGTGGGATATAAATTTGATTTATTTATTTGAACATATAATATTGGTACAAGGCGGCACCAGATATATATGCACCGAATAAATTTCATTTGGTTTGTTTGAGGGCTGTGATCCTACCCGTGTGCCCAAACCGAAGCAGATGGTTTTCCTAAGGGGCTACACCCCGAGCCTTTGACCTAAAGGTCTAATCCACAAGGCAGTGGAGCATCGTAAGGAGATGCAGTCCCATGGTAGCTGGTGACCAACGATTGGTTCATACGCTAGTTGTTCCTGCAGGATACTGGAGCCCATGTGCACCATTGGTTTGGAATCCGGTTAAAGCGACGGACATTCGCTTTTCGTCCTCTCAATTTCGTAAACAACACCCTCGTCACGAGAAGGTAGTGAGTAGAACTTCCCTGGCAGAGACTGTATACGCGTGGCCGTGTGAGAGCATTTCGAGAGGGAGAGCGGGCCCACTCCGCTCTCAGCCATACCAGGACATTAGGGGGCTCCGTTTTCTATAACATTAGCCTTATCCTCATGCCCCATTAGTGTTTACGGACTAGATCCTGGTTTTATGAAACTTTTACTTTCTGTTAGTACGACCTAGCTACTATTGCTCAGTATTCTTGGACACTACTTCACTCGACAAGTCCCAACTCAGAACACGGTTGAACAGGGACGTAATTATATTCCAAGTATTCACTAGCGCTGATTGGATAAGAACTAGCCAATCAACGTGCCCCAACACAATCCTGTACGCAACGTGCTTTAATCAAAACTGGTCGAGGATGTATTGATCATATCTTTGCCCTCCGCCAAATGTTAGAACACCGCCATACTTATCAAAGGCCAACAATCGTAGTGTTTCTTGACATCAGGGCTGCCTTCGATTCGTTGGACAGGGCTGTTCTCTGGGATTGTCTATTGAAGAAGGGTGTGCTTGAGAAGTTTATTAACATCCTAAATGCCCTATATACAAACACCTCGGGTAGAGTGAGGGCATACAACCACCTCTCTCCATTGTTCCATTCGAGCAGTGGGGTTAGGCAGGGTTGCTCAATCTCACCATTCCTCTTCAACTTTGCCATCGATGACATTCTGGAAACAGCTCTGATGAATGTAAGTAATGGTGGTGTGGATCTGTTGCCTGGAGAAAGACTTCTCGACCTTGAGTATGCGAACGATATCGTCTTACTGTCCGATAATGCCCAAGCCATGCAATCCGCACTTAATCAGCTGGCAATCAGTGTCCATAGGTATGGTATGTGCTTTGCACCTTCGAAGTGCAAAGTACTTCTACGAGACTGGCAGGATCCCAATCCTGTACTCATCCTGGATGGTGAGCAGATAGACGTAGTCGAGAAGTTCGTGTATCTGGGTAGCTGCATAAGTGCTGGTGGTGGCGTGAGTGATGAGATCAATGCACGAATAGTGAAAGCCACAGCGGCTTATGCCAATCTGGGCCACCTTCGGCGCCTTCGTGATGTTAGTCTGGCTGTAAAAGGTCGGATCTACAACGCGTCAGTGAGAGCAGTTTTGCTCTATGCTTGTGAAACCTGGTCTCTCCGAGTTGAGGATGTTAGACGACTCTCCGTGTTCGATCATCGCTGTCTCCGAAGGATTGCTGACATCCAGTGGCAACACCATGTCAGTAGTGCAGAGGTTCGGCATCGTGTGTTCGGGCACAGAGATGATAATGCAATCGATGTCACCATCTTGAAACACCGACTTCGGTGACTTGGACATGTTCTACGAATGTCCTCCCAGAGAATTCCACGTCGTGCATTATTTGCCGACTCTGGGACTGGTTGGGAAAAGCGGAGAGGTGGTCAGTGCATGACATGGTGTCGTGGCATGAAAGAAAGCTGCAAAGGACTGGCTTGTGTTGGACCTTCACGACTCCCTGGTTGGGGCCCGAGAGATGGTGCAACACAGTGGCTAGAGACGTTATCAGATATGGCTCAGAATAGAAGCCAGTGGCGATCCTGCTATAACCTTCTTTTACTTTCTTCATAAAAAGTGGTTGTGTCTCCCTTAACTGAAAGATTTCTTCTGATTGTACCTTTCCGCTCCCCCATTATTACTACATTACCTTACACCAATCTCTTCGTTATTGTTCTCTTTTTCTTACACACCTTACCTTTTTTTCTCTTCCAATTCTGATTCTTTTGTGTGGCGCATATATATTGGCGCTCTCTTGTACCAATATTCATGTGTTCAAATAAATAAAGAAAGAAATAGGAAACGGGCAGGTAGTAGTGAAAGAAGGATCTCGAGTTTGTTAGACGTATGAAGGGGACTACCAATTTTCAGTTTTCTACTCCATGGGATGATACTTCTTGAAGTACATGGAATAAAAACTGAATTAGCAATAGCCTTGAGGAACTAGGAGGGCGATCTCAACTCTCGTAGAACAACTTCAGACCGGTCTCGTGTGAGTGTTGTAACGTGATAGCTCTGTTCTTTAAATGACACTGCCGCCTGAAATCTATAGTGTAAGATGAAGTGTGATACTCTAAGGGTCGACATTTCGTTGTGAGAAGTCAGTATCACTATAAATCCTGGTCACCCACGGCTAACACCTTGCCTTAACACCTCGCACCTTCGTACAGTCAGCGGTACAACTTAGCCCTCGGACCTTGAGCTCTTGCGTTTGGTCTACCATTTTTCCAAGCAAACTCTGTAATGATCGAAACAATTATTTCAGCTAATATAGCTCGATTGGGTGCCGATATCTTGTACCAGTGTTTTACAAATCACAAAAACGACCTGCATATTTTTCTCAGCATCTATCGTAAGAAGCCTGAAATTCATGTGTGAGAATCTAGTTTGAACTTTATTGTAAAGAGGAAAAGCTACTCAGTTTTAGATGGGATATAGGGATTTTTATTCTTCGCATCGAAGTTTGTAGTTTTTTTTAGTATATTTCAGGTTTTTACTCACTGAACTACAAGACACAGACAAATCGCTTATGATTTCCGAAACCAATATTTCAAACTACTGTTCATGAGCAGTCAAACTTAACGCAGATTATATGACTAAACTATTCTTTAAAGATGGTTCTTACTGTATAAAAATGTTAAAGATCTTACATTAGTTAAATATGCTCTCAACATCCAGCTGTTCCGATACTTATTAACAAGCATATATATGTAAAGTGAACAATCTAAAGAAGAAAAAATAAGACGGAGATTCTTGGAAATCACCTTGGATACAACTTCACTGATCTCCCTCAACTAAAGATGTAAAAAATTTAAGTCTAGGTGTTCTTACAAACGGAAATGTAAGTTTAAATGACGTGTGCTTCCTCTTTGATTATAAAGTGTAAAAGACGAGAGAAATTGAAATCAATGCAGTAAGAGATTATCTTCAAAGCATTGGGCGAAATGTGCTAAACTAACCTGAGAAGCCAATGAGGCAAGAAGAATAGCCACATCGAGGGACGGACAAAGATCGCCTGCATCAAAAAGGAAGGGTTTCGTACAACAATTAGTCAGAATTAAAGTACTTGATTGTCAATTTATCAATACTGCTGAAAAAAGGGAGATTTTTAACTACGAACTGCAAAACCTCTTGTTACTTCAAGTAGCCTATACTGAAAATACTCAAACAAGATCTCTTCACGGATGCTAGTGAGCCAAACTTAAACATGGTTTTTCACTTTCTATCAAGTAAATATCAAGGCAGTCTAATACCGAAAATGTCAACTCCAACTGCCGTTCATCAATGGCTTCCTACCATTTATTTAATTTCGTCATGACAATTTCTTCATCTAGCTTCTCAGGAGATGGTCCTTCACTAGGTGACTAACTTATCAACCGAAAATGCACTAATGACAAAGTTACATTTGGTGAAGATGGTGAAAAAAATATAGCCTACAATCCAAGAAGTTTGGGATGTATTTCTTCCTTTCGAGATGCAAAATGGTGCTTTCTGACTGATCTGCGTCAACGCCTGAACTAATGATACTAGATCAGTCATCTATAACGTAGGACCAGGCACACACCTCATTAGCACATGAAGATGAACACTAAATTCGTAGAACCAGTTACTTCAATGGTAGTAATGTATAAAAAAGATTGCGTATAAGGATATAGTACAGGAAGAAAGATTTAGTACGTAGAAAGATATCAACCAATTTTAATCTCTTAGTTTAAGGGAAGACAGAGAGTGTATACACCCACGCCATTGTGATTGATTCTGAGCCATGTCACTAAGAGTCTCCAACCATTCGTTACGATAGTTACGTGGAACCCAACCAAGTAGTCTGCATCTATCAACATGACTCAGACCAGAAGTTAGTGACTTCAAGGACTGACGCCACGTTTTAGTTTGACTGCCAGTAACTTTCGTCCAACCGTCTCCAACACTAGTCAGCATTGCACGTCGTGGTGATCAGTGTTCAGGCACAAGTAACACGTGGACCAACCATCTCAGTCGATGAAGATTTACAACCTCATCAACTGATTCCCTAATACCCTGTGTCTAACCTCACTATTACTTACTCGACGATCCCAGCAGATGCGAGCACTCTTTGATCAAATAATGGTAACTTACGAGTATCTTCTAATCTTAATGGCCACGTTTCGCAGCCGTAAAGTAGAACAGAACAAACAGTCACGCAGTATACTCATCCATTAATTGATAGACGGATATCGCTTTCGCCATAGGTGACGTAAGTTGGCAAAAGCCAAACGAGCTTTCTGAATCCGTACAGAGATTTCGTCAGACACCAACCCATTAGGGCTGATCAGACCTACAAGATAAGTGAAGTTATCGATGCGTTCCACTACTTTACTACCTGTCCCTAGTTCAGGTGTTGACGCAGGCCAGTTCTAGCATTGCTGCTCAGTGCTACCATAAGACTGCATTTTATCAGTGTCTTCACCAAACAGGACTATATCATCTGCGTATTCTAAGTCGATAAGTGGACCTCCTGGTAGGAGACCAATACCCGAAAATTTGGTCGACGAGAATGTCATTTTTCACTTTCAGTTTATGACGGGATAACACAAAAATGGGTATAGTGGACAACCTTGCCAAACTTATGATGTGGGATGAAGTTGTTGAGCGTATCGACCACTTTCCTTATATTAGAAGTTTCATCAGCCCTGGTGATGGGCTCACATCTGAAGAAATCTCGTCACAAACTCGGAAAGCTTGGTTGACTTTTCCCATTGAGTCACTTGTGGTATAGGCCCGATATCCGTCTATCAACCAAAGGACGAGTACAGTGGGCAGTAATTCACTTTGTTTTACTTCAAAGCCGTGAAATGTAACCTTTAAAAATAAAGCATATTCTTGGGTTACTAATGTTTGATAACGGATACAACCGGACCAGTGCTCGTATATGTTGGGACCAACGAGTGAGCAATGTTGAGGTAAGATGTAGAGTACTGGGTGAATAACAGGTTGTTACAGCTGACTTAGTCAATAACTTGTTTCTCTAAATCTGTTTCCAATTATAAGGGTGTACAAATCCAATCTTCAAAAAAATCCCATTTAATTCCAGATAGTTTATCTGCTGTATTTATGTATATGTGTGCAGTTATTGGTTTCTTACACTTTTCTTTCCTCCTTTTTGTGGACAAAACTTGTTTACATACTTTTTGCTGGAAATTTCATATTGTACCAGGAATATAATATTGAATAAAGCCACTAATAACGATAAGTAAACGACTTGATAAGCAGTTATGTGCTGAGAAACATAGGCATGCATAACCGGGGTTTATGGTAAACACGATTAAAATATAATGGAAAGTGTTTCGAAACTGAATAAAACAATAGGCTATTGACATATAGGTATAACCCTAAACCTACCAAAACAATTTCCATTCATATTGGATTCACTTCGATTTAAAATGGTGGATTTGACACTTAAATAGAACAGACGACGAGTTGTAGCTTGTATTAGTTCCTGTTCAACATCTTCAGGAAAGAATTTGGTGTGAAAAAAGAAGCAAAGAGACTTAGAGATATCTTCTGGCTTTTGTGAAACAATCTAAAAGTCAGTAGTTGAGAAAATATTAGATCACCTTCTTATCTAGTTTAAGCCAGTGAGAAAGTTGCATTCTTCCATTTGGAAAGAAGCTATAAAATTGTAATCCGAAATACCACGTCTCCCTCAAGCCAATTGTACTGCAGACTAGATCGAAGAGGTATTTTCCTGTGCTTTTAGGCTGGAGCAAAGGTGCTTATTGTAGAAATAAAACATACCGATATGTTAAACTCCAACTCAGATTCATGCAGTGTTACTCTGATCTTCAAACATTTAGCATCCGAATTATTCCACTTCATCGAATGCTGAAATCTGCCGTAATATTACCAATCAATGCTGAATTAACATAACTTTCAGGTACTTGAATAAATTTGTGCTAAAGAATGTGACGAAATATTCGGCCGCATGAAGTTCAAGGAAACAAGATAAAAAGGTGTATTTGAACTTATGGGAGTTTCAGCGCAGCATACCATATTGTAACAGTCTCGATGGTGCTGACTAGTGTTCCAGATGCTAAGCTTATCTAATGAATAATGAGATTAGATCCATCTTATTCAGCTACGTTAACCCAAAGCACTACAAGTCAACCATACTTAAATGCTTTAACGAACAAACTAATATAACAAATCGAAATACATAGCACAAATCTACAAACATATCACTAAATACCTTTAGTATGAGTAGTTATGAGCCGATCGTCGACAACTACACACAAACCAGACTTTAGGGCTAGTGGAGCAAAGCAGCATACATTCAAAAACCCTAGCGACGTGAAAAATCACTCTGATAGGCTAACTCAGAGTTTTTAAAGATGACAAACCAGTTTAAACAGCACGGCTACTTGCATTGTCTACTAGTCTAGGCGTTGTACAAACCCTACCTAATTGATCTTGAACACCGACAGTTTTTGTATTTAAGAAAGGACAGGAAACACCTTGTGATAGCCACAAAGGGATCGATCTGACCAATGAGGAATTCTAAATACTAGTTTTCTTAGTTATCTAACTGCAGTTCATGGACAGTAAATACTAGAAGTCCAGGCTGGTTCAAAATGAGAACCTCTCCTACAACACGGCAGTGCTCTGAAACCAAAGAATCGTCTACAAAATTGTTCGTAAGTATAGCTAAAAAATATTTATACATCTTAAGCCTTGTATCTACTATCAGCTGCCCTCAACCATTTAGACTTATTGTAATTAGTAATTTACTAGTCACTTTGAAACTTATTGTTCACTGTAACTCTTTAATGCTTTAGCTTTATGTGACCAACCCATATTTTGTAAAAGTTATACATACTTTACCCAAACTACCTCCACTACTGCCTAAGAATTGAATATAGACTTCAAGGTCAGTACTAGCGTCGGAAGTGCAGTTTATTCGAACCTCTCTTTCAAATTACTATTAGAGTAAACGCATAAAGTGGTGATGATGTTTAGAGAATGAGTTCTACTTTCACGAACTCTGATATGGCTTTTTCGCTTAATTTTATCTCAGAAATAAAATTACCTATCATGGTAATTATAGGCTGTGTCTTGTAGTCATCGCGAAAAACCAGTTCATTTAAGAGTAAGAACGTTAATCTAGGTCGTAGACACCAGTATTTTAATTTCATTTGACATGTGCAGTATATCTAATATATCTTTAATGAGCTAGTTCTGAAGTAATCGTAATAATGATAGAAGCGAGAGTAATCGTAGAAATCTGCAGTTCTGACGGGTGACTTTTTTGAGAATTAGTGAGATTGACTGATGTAGCTGAGAGGTTTGTAGAAGCTGAATTTCAATAGTACCGGAGCCCTGTGAACACCATATTTGGGGGATCTACTCGAACGATAATATCCCCCCATCTGGTTGGTTTCGAGATCAAGCTGTTGAATTAAGTAATTCCCAAATATAGATGCTTAGTTAGTAAGTACCACTGCTGCTGATTGTCTTAATTTTTATAGGCACGTCACTAGCTGAATAAATTCAGTCAAGTGTCCTAACAAGTTCAGGTTTTGTTTCGTCGCAAAACACATTGGTGATAACTAGCCAACGTAAAAAATCTGCACTAAGATATTTCTGTCTACTTTTCAATAATTCCTAACACTTGATCTGGATTAACTATCTCAGAAACATTTCGACAGAAGGTAGTGAGAAACCTATACGGCCAGATTCCCCACTACCCGCTATTATTTGATTGATAAGCTTGACGTGACATAGAACATGGAAGGATATTTTACGGGTTAATTTATCCGCAACGCCTCTGTTTCTCATCCCAAAGTTTTTCCCACACTGTGACGCAATGTCTTTTATATTCTGGAACTGTTTATCAACACTTAATCTCCTCTGATGATGAATATATTTTAAAATTCATTCAGAAATCATGTTGTTCTGACCTGGAAATATCGAAGTGTAGTCCCAATATTCAGAAACATATTCTCAAACTCAATGTAATCCGACGACGAGCACAGCTTTTTGTATTTGTCAAAACACTGCCGTGGGAGTTGAACGAGTACACTGGGTCGATCACGTTTGCAAACACAACTCCGCACCATATGAGATTTTGAGGACGACTGCTTTTGAATAAGAAGACCTATAGACTGGTAGAGCGAATATCATCACTCACGTTGAAGAACTGAAAATATATGACTGTTCAATAACCGATATGTTTAATATCATCAATTTTACTGTGCTTTGATTTGGTATCTTCAGAGTTCTTTTCTGGAAGCCTAAAAATTGAAGATTCTTTGTGCAACTGTTGTAATTATTATTAGAACGATTTATTTGGATTGATTGCTTGTAATTTGTATATGAATTTTGTACCTGATTTGGAATTTGACTCTTTTGTTACTTAGGTCGTCAATTACAGGTGGATCAATAGACCGTACTTTAGTAGCGGACTAGAGCAAAATTTGAACGTAACACTCATTCTATATATTATATAAGATATTTCATTAGTAAAGTTATGAAATAGGAAACACAAGTTTAATCTTGGATATTTACAAATAGGTAGGCATCTATTACCGTCTGAGAGCTCCACAACACTGAACCGGCCACCTATACTCTCCATTTTGCTACAGGAGATTATGTTAGGGTGGCGTTCAGTAGTTGTCATGGGATGATTTCCAACCTTTAGAAGGCGGTCAAAATTTGGCTAATATCCTATATCTCGCAATCGCAAAAGCCACTTTCTATGCGATCGTAGGAATCATCACAGTTTACTGTCGAAAGGTTGATGATTAGCTTTGGTTAAAATCAGAAATCTCATGACTATAGCCAGTAACTTTCCAACCGCTACTGGTACGGTTCATATTTAATTCGGTGGAATGATTTAACTTTGATTGTTATGTCCTTACCACATAATCCTCAAAGCTGAACATGCAATAACTGGGAAAATGTCTATTCAACAATTAACATGGAGAGAAAATCAACAATGGAGAAGGCGGGAAGAATTAGTTGAACTGAATGGAATGGCATGGCTCATGACAATTCTTGTGTTACTTATCTTTTTTGTTTGATATTGAATAAATTGTTTCATCCCTAGCCTGGATGTATTCTCCAGAAGTAGGTAACATCATATTGGTCATTCTTACGGCAGAACAAGTTAGTTCAGACAATGGTGTGACTTCCATGTAAGATCTTTTAGATAAGGTAATCATATCATGACAAACGTGCGATTTAAGGAGTAGGCCTGATATTATAATAGTACTAGTAAAGAACTGGACCATAATTCTACGAGCTCATTGTTGACTTCATCTGGCTGGTTTCGCACTAAACGTTCAGTAGTGCCCGTAAGTATGTTCAAATTGTATGAACGAGAACGACAATTTTTGCGTTCTTTATTTCTTTTGCTTGGGGTAGCCTGCTCGAATTTCTTTTAACCATTTGCGTCTAGACTACTTTCTCTTTGAGGCTTGTAATGCACGCGATAAAATGTACAGTGATTGGGCCTCAAAATGTTTGTACATTTTGATTATGGTGCATCGTACGTGATTCGGCTGCGAGAACCCTCTCCGTGACACAAAATGAGATACATCTCAGATGGTATAGTAAAGTTTTCAGATTTAATATATTCGCAGTGCTGTACGTAGCATGAAAGAGCTTGGATCCATCCTTATCTTAGCACTGTTTCACCTACGACATTTTACTGACCGAAAGTCGAAGATATCGTTAGAATCAAGGTGATGACCTAACATTTTGTTTTTCCTTAGAAAACCCCTATGACCCTTTGATCATCTGATGAAGAAAAACGACTTCTCATCTCTTAACCTATGAATGTATACGGTCCTACAGCTTTATTTTTTGTAGGTGTTTGAATGTAGGACCAGCTAGACTGTTCACATGTTGGGTCACTAGCCATATATTTTGTTGATTGACATAATTTATGCTGAGTGGTGGTCTTCAAAGCAAGTTGGGGATTAGTGTTTATGACTGTACGCTCCTCAGTCCATCTCCATATGAAGTACTTTTTGAGCGATACCGTGATTCGTGAGGTTCAGAATAATTTATCTGGCAGAAATAGGTAGCATTCTGTTTTTGACGTAATAAAGGATTGGAACTGTATGTTTATATGTTTCAAGCAGTAGCATATGTGTAGAATTACGGTCTACTTCGTTATTACCATTGCTCTATCAATAGACCTTATCCTAAGATTGTAGATTTGTCACGATATAACTGCCTAATCTTTAAGATCTTATGTAGAAAACACTCCATTGTCTACACTGAAATATCGTGTCGTAACAATCACCAATACATGATGGAGAGCACGTTTTGACTAGAGATAGAACAATATATTTAATATTAATAATATATATGACAACACACAAGAGGGACCAAACCTGCAAGGCTGAACCATGCCATCCGATGAGTTGAATTTTGAATGAATGTTGCTGTGTTCACCATTAATGACCTTCTTTTGTTGTTACATGTTGAAAGTCTACTTTCCCAGTTATCTCGTGTTCAGCTTCAAGGATTGTGGTCAGGATTCAATTTCACTACAGTTTCCGTAAGTATAGATGAGAGATTTTACTACTACAATGAGGCTGTCTCTAACTTGTTTAAGGGACCATTCAAAAATGTCTGTTACAGCGAGTATGCCAGACGCTAGATAGCGATATTTTCGCTTGCTGATTTATTGTCAACGAAGGCGATTCATTATTGCTGTCGAAATGGCTTCGAGAAGCACATTGTAGCATACAGGGGCTCCTTAATAGCTGAAGAGTTCCTATGTATTCCGAACCTGATGGAATCTCCCAGATTATCAAAGTGGCACTCTATAATTGGACAATTACAGAACGCGGTGGCGAATACCGAAAACTACAAATATTCACGTTTTTCTGTACATTTGTGACTTTTATGCAACAATACTTTAATCTGCTTCAACCGTCTTTTAGTTTGCGACCGTGAAGATCTATATGTTCGAGTGTCGTTAGTTGTATGCCGAAATTTGTCTTATTCCAGTAGATGCGACAATTACATAAATAAAACAGTTGATCAAGCATTTTGAATTCTGCAGTTCAAAAGAGACCCGAAAAGTGAATGAATCACGGCAGAAAATAAAGGAATAACCTATGATAACTATATATTTCTGACAAAGTAGGTACATGCTATTTTAAAAGCAAGCTGAAGAACTTACAACATTGGTTTGCAGACAAGACGCTTCTTAAGTAGGTTTGTTTAATCGGCATAATCATTGTGAAAATAATAGGTAGTATATTCGTGCGAATTTTAATAATAATAATTTATTCTCAAATAACAGTTTGTTACATGAGGTATGCCAGTTTATAGGCAAAATCAAATTGTTACAAATGATGCAGTTTTCACTGTAGTAAATTACTCAACTGGGTTGATATTTTATAAGATATGAATTTAGATGTTTTTATTAGGAGGCTTCTAGAAATCGCAATCTTATATCCCTCTGGAATATCTGAGGCCTTAATGATGGTGTAGGAAAAAATCTCCCGTTCCATATTTGTTTTCCTTGGCATATTTCAAGGGCTCATATAGGTTTACTTTCAAAGACAATATCACGTCTTACACAATGCTCTATCTTGCACATACTGTTGGGAAACACCATTTCTATACATAAAACTTAACAAGCTTATCAGAAAGTTCCAAATTAGGACTATTAGTAGGGCACTGACGCAGTGGTTTATATGACTAGTAGGGATTAAGGGTTTTTAAACAAAGTCTAAGTATTTAGAAGGGCATAATGGCGGAAAAATACTTACCGAAATAGGCGAAAAGATGTAGGAATATAAAAGTTGTGAATAATGCAATGAGTAATGAAATGAAATTAATGGTAAGTCAGTAAAGTGAATATGAAAGTAGAAAGCTGATGAGAAATAAACAAGAAGGAACTCACATTACCTT